CCCTCCAACCTCCATACGTACTTACTATCCACTTGGAAAGTACGCATGGCTTTACCAAACGTGTGTTCCCACAGCTCTTGGAGTGGATCCGTCGAATGACCCCCTGGCTAGAGAACAAGTCCCCAGAGAAGACCATGGCTGCTATGCGGGGTAAAATGGAGGACTTCAGAGACTACCGTAGACAACACAAACCCCCCAAGGTGCAGGAGAAGTGTCAGCTGGAGATCAGCTTCAACACCCTGCAGACCAAGCTGAGGATCTCCAACCGGCCCGCCTTCATGCCCTCTGAGGGACGCATGGTGTCAGTGAGTCAGACACACACACACACACACACACGCACACACACACGCACACACACACACACATACACACACGCACACACACACACACACACGCTCACACACACACACACACGCACCCACCCACCCACACACAGAGACCTTCCTGCCCTCTGAGGGTCTTGGTGAGTAGAGGAGACCCAGAGGAAGTTCCAGGCAACACATCCCAGAGGTCAGAGATCTTATTGATTTCATTTATCTCATATTCATGTATTCATGGAAAGTATTCAGACCCATTGAATATTTCCACATTTTGTTACGTTACAGCCTTATTCGAAAATGGATTAAATGAAATTTTTCCTCATCAATCTACACACAATACCCCAAAATGACAAAGCGAAAACAAGTTTTTAGAGATTTTTGCTAATTTATTAAAAATAAACAACAGAAATACCTTATTTACATAAGTATTCAGACCCTTTGCTATGACACTCGAAATTGCATCCTGTTTCCATTGATCATTCTTGAGATGTTTCTACAACTTGATTGGAGTCCACCTGTGGTAAATTCAATTGATTGGACATGATTTGGAAAGGCACACACCTGTCTATACAAGGTCCCACAGTTGATAGTGCATGTCAGAGCAACAACCAAGCCATGAGGTTGAAGGAATTGTCCATAGAGTTCCGAGACAGGATTGTGTTGAGGTACAGATCTGGGGAAGGGTACCAAAACATTTCTGCAGCATTGAAGATCCCCAAGAACACAGTGGCCTCCATCATTCTTATATGGAAGAAGTTTGGAACCACCAAGACTCTTCCTAGAGCTGGCCGCCCGGCCAAACTGAGCAATCGGGGGAGAAGGGCCTTGCAAGAACCCGATGGTCACTCTGACAGAGCTCCAGAGTTCCTCTGTGGAGATGGGAGAACCTTCCAGAAGGACAACCATCTCTGCAGCACTCCACCAATCAGGCCTTTATGGTAGAGTGGCCAGACGGAAGCCACTCCTCAGTAAAAGGCACATGACAGCCCACTTGGAGTTTGCCAAAAGGCACCTAAAGACTCAGACCATGAGAAACAAGATTCTCTGGTCTGATGAACCAAGATTGAACTCTTTGGCCTGAATGCCAAGCGTCACATCTGGAGGAAACCTGGCACCATCCCTACGGCGAAGCATGGTGGTGGCAGCATCATGCTGTGGGGATGTTTTTCAGCAGCAGGGCCTGGGACACTAGTCAGGATCGAGGGAAAGATGAACGGAGCAAAGTACAGAGAGATCCTTGATGAAAACCTGCTCCAAAGCGCTCAGGACCTCAGACTGGGGTGAAGGTTCACCTTCCAACAGGACAACGACCCTAAGCACACAGCCAAGACAACGCAGGAGTGGCTTCGGGACAAGTCTCTGAATGTCATTGAGTGGCCCAGCCAGAGCCCGGACTTGAACCCGTTCGAACATCTCTGGAGAGACGTGAAAATAACTGTGCAGCAACTCTCCCCATCCAACCTGACAGAGCTTGAGAGGATCTGCAGAGAAGAATGGGAGAAACTCCCCAAATACATCATACCCAAGAAGACTTGAGGCTGTAATCGCTGCCAAAGGTGCTTCAACAAAGTACTGAGTAAAGGGTCTGAATACTGATGTAAATGTAATATTTCAGTTTTTTATTTTTTATAAATTTGCAAAAAGTTCTAAAAACCTGTTTTTGCTTTGTCATTATGGGGTATTGTGTGTAGGAAAAAAAAACAATTTAATCCATTTTACAATAAGGCTGTAAAGTAACAAAATGTGAGAAAAGTCAAGGGGTCTGAATACTTTCCGAATGCACTGTATAGTTGACCCTAGCCTTGATTATTAGCTGAGTGATCAACGTCCCTTGGAAGGATGGCATTGTGAGACTTCGTTTATATTAGCTGAGTGATCAACGTCCCTTGGAAGGATGGCATTGTGAGACTACGTTTACCCCCCCCACAGTTTTTCACAATGTCTGTAATCTTTAACCCCAAAAAAAGACAGTTCCCTGGTGAAGTATAGCCACGTCCTGTATCTTCCAACCTCTGTGTTTCCCAGGACACCACCATGGACAGACCTGGAGAAGGTAGAGAACGGCTAGGAGGAGGTTCTTACTGTATTGTTATACTGTATCCTGTGTGTGTGTGTGTGTGTGTGTGTGTGTGTGTGTGTCTGTGTGTGTGTGTCTGGTGTGTGTGTGTGTGTGTGTGTGTGTGTGTGTGTGTGTGTGTGTGTGTGTGTGTGTGTGTGTGTGTGTGGTGTGTGTGTGTGTGTGTCTGTGTGTGTGTGCGTAGGACATCACCAGTGCGTGGACGGGCCTGGAGCAGGCAGAGAAGGGCTATGAGGAGTGGCTGATGAGTGAGACCAGGAGGCTGGAGCGTCTCAACCACCTGGCTGAGAAGTTCCAGATGAAGGCTGCTACCCACCAGGACTGGTCTGTAGGTCCGTCTGTTCTCTCTCTATTCCAGGGGTTCTCTAACCTCTCCTTGGGACCTCCAGACGTTTTCACTATTTAGTTGTATTCCCTGAACTATCTCACCTGATTGACCTAGTGAAGGGCTTGACGATTAAGTCGACAAGTTGAATCAGGTGAGCTAGCTGTGGAATAGTTAAATACATGGAACGGCTGGGGGTCGGTTGGGGGTCGTTTGGGGGTCGGCTGGGGGTCACAGAGAAGAGGTTTGAGAACCACTTCTCTATTGGGGCGGCGCACAATTGGCCCAGCGTCGTCCAGGGTAGGGGAGGGAATGGCCGGCAGGGATGTAGCTCAGTTGGTAGAGCATGGCGTTTGCAACGGCAGGGTTGTGGGTTCGATTCCCACGGGGGGCTAGTATGATTATTATTTTTATTTTTTTATAAAATAAATGTATGCACTCACTAACTGCTCTGGATAAGAGCGTCTGCTAAATGACTAAAATGTAAATGTATTGAATTAGTACAATATTCTGTACATGAACATCGCTCCAGCAGTACCATCCTGAGATGTCCTGTGCTCAAGATGGGAGACCATTTCCTGAATAAGGACAATAAAATAAACTGAACTGAATTGATCAGATCTGTCTTTAGAAATGCACATAGATTATCTATCAAAATAGATCCATTCCTAACGGTGATCAGTGATTTTGATGATGTGTTTGTCTAGGTAAGGACAGCGTCCTGTCTCATAAGGACTACGAGTCCTGCTCTCTGACGGAGGTGAGAGCTCTGCTCAGGAAACATGAGGCTTTTGAGAGTGACCTGGCCGCTCACCAAGACAGAGTGGAACAGATCGCTGCCATCGCACAGGAGTTAAAGTAAGGGGGGGAGGGAGTGGGGGGGGTGGGGGGGTTGAGAGTGACCTGGCCACTCACCAGGACAGACTGGAACAGATCGCTGCCATTGCACAGGAACTCAACTAGTCCCTGCCCCACAGTTTTTCCCAGTCAGCCCACACCTAGCCCACAATCGGTCCACAGTCACCCCACAGTCAGCCCACACCAAGCCCACAATCGGTTCACAGTCAACCCATAGTCAGCCCAAACCTAGCCCACAATCGGTCCACAGTCACCCCACAGTCAGCCCAAACCTAGCCCACAATCGGTCCACAGTCAACCCACACCAAGCACACAATCGGTCCACAGTCACCCCACAGTCAGCCCACACCTAGCCCACAATCGGTCCACAGTCACCCCACAGTCAGCCCACACCTAGCCCACAATCGGTCCACAGTCACCCCACAAACCCGGGCCTACAGCTGGCCAACAGTCAGCACACAACCGGCCCAGGCTAATGTTATGTAGATTGACAGGTATTGCTGTTGTGGTTGTCAGTTCTGAGCAGGTAGTCAGTAGGAGGCTGATTCTCTGGTCCGCTTGTCTGGACTTCTGTTGTGCTGTATGGACTCCATCTAGTGGCTGAAGGCAGTCTGGGCAAGGCCACTGACAGACTGTAACCTACTGGCAGACACAGAATCCTCACTGTTGCTGCCAAAGTTCAACCACCCTAAAGGAAACATTTGCCCCTCGTGTAAACTCTTGTAAAGTTAAAAGCACCACCAACCAGTCCAGAGGTCAGTGTGTCTTTGCATTGAGAACAGTCCATTGTTCTAAATTTGGGTTTGAATGACACTGAACAGCACCTGCCACTTTCCCTCTGCACCAGCACTGGTTGTCCTGCCTGCCTGTGTGTGTGTGTGTGTGTGTGTATTTGTCTGTGTGTATGTGCCTGTGTCCACCATTGTGTGTGTGCGTAGTTGGCAGATAGAGTTATGATGGGGTGATCCTCCTCACCTCTCTCCCCAGTCTCCTGTATATATTACAACCTCTCTCTAGAGGATCTATATATCTATGATATGTCTCCTACTCGATCATACTAGTCTCTCTCGATATCTCTCTCTCTCTCTCTCGTCTCACTGGAACACTGTGGTCTTTCACCATAGTTAGATAAGGAGTTTATCAAAATTGGGGTGTGGTTTTGAATTTCTTGTGGATAGCGTAATCGGGGAAAGATGGGTATATAAATATGGTAATAAATTTGGAATTGATATATATAATATATCTAGTAGAGATAGAGATAGAGAGAGATAGCAGATGATAGTAAGATCTATATAATATAAGAGATATATAGGTATATCTTGTACTATAGTAAAGCTATGAGTCTAGTGATAAGCGGAGATATAGAGATATATAATATATCTATCTATCTCCCTAATCTAATATAATCTATCTATATAACAAGTATAATGTTATATATTAAAATATCTCCAACAGTCAAATGCATGAAAGAAATTGATATATATATATTCCCCCTGCCATTATTGGACAGCCCCTGTTCTAGAACGCGGGCCAACCTGTGTTCTTCACGTGTCACAGTTGAAGGACTCTGATGTCATTCATCAGACCAGAGCAACCTCCTGTCACCACGTGTCTTTCCACTGACACTATTTGTGTTCATCTTGGTTCTTTCAAAAAAACACATCATTACACAAGGCATCACTTTTACTAAAATCATGTAAAATGCTAAATGTGAAGTGTCCCTTTAAATACACGTCGTCAGGAATCAGTAATGACATCTAAAGTCCTACTTTCCTGAATTCTGTTTGTAAATTTGTACAAACGTGGACTGAATTTTCCACAGGCTGTGTTGCAAGCCTGTCTGAGGGGAGATTCCCAACAGAGGTTAATATTGACTGAGATAACACTGTTAGTCCTTCTGCAGTACTAACTAAGGGATGACCTTTCACCTTCTTAAATGCTGTGATCCCATTGGCTGTTAGACACCAAATAAGATAAATGGCTATGACCCCCATGACTCAGATACATGGCAGTGAACGAGAAACCACACAACACAGGAAACACACACAAACAAAAAACACAAAGACAAACCCCAAAAAAAAAAAACAAACACAACAAACAACACAAACACACAAAACAAGACACAGACAAAAAAACACACACAAACACACAACACCAAAAAAGACACACACAGAAACAACAACACAAAAAACAACACAAACAACAACACACAAACAACACACAAAGACACACACACACACACACACAGAAAACCCAAGAAACACACACACACACACACAACACACACACACAGACAGAACACACACAAAAACAACACAACACACACACACACACACAGAAACACACACACACAACAAAAACACACACAAACAGACAAAACACACACACAACACAAACAACACACACACACAGACAGACAGACAGACACACACAAAACACACAACACAGACACACCACACCACACACACACACACACACAACCCCACAAACAGACAGACACACACACACACACAGAAAAGACACACACAACACACACACACACCAACACACACACACCAGACACACACAACACCAACACACACACAGAACCAACACACAACACAAAACCACCAACAGACAGAAGAAAAAAACACACAACCCACACACACACACCAGACACAAAACACACACACACACACACCACACACACACACACACCGACACAACAACACACACACACACAAAACAGACACAACACACACACAACACAAAACACACACACACACACACACACACAGACAGACACACAAAAACACAACACCAACACACACAACCACACACACACAGACAGAACAACACACACACACAGACACACACACACACACAAACACACACAAAGAAGACCACACACATCACACAACACACACCACAACACACAGACAACACACACACAACACCACACACACACAAAAACACAAACAAAAAACACACACACACACACAAAACACACACACACACACAGAGACAGAACACACACACACACACACACAGACACAGGACACAGCACAGACAAGACAACAGACACAGACACACACACACACACACCACAACACAACACAGACACACACACACCACACACACACACACACACACAGACACACACACAGACACACACACACACACAGACACACACACACACAGACACACACAGACACACTCCCAGTTGTCCCCCTAGTGAGGTCTGTTTGCCACAGGAGTTTGGCTCTGTTCCCCACCACCTATATCCACTTCCTGGCTGGGAGGGTCTGGGCCCGGGAACACAATGAGGACTGGTCACCTTCAGGTTCTCTCTCAGCCCCCTGCAATGTTCCTGGGTCATGTTCATTAGGCACCAAACTGAATAAACTACTTTGACCTCTCCAATGAGAAAAGTTCATTTTTTCGCTTTCTGTTGCATAATGTTTAAGAACGTTTTCCGTTGCATTCCCTATTGAACAACGACCCAGGTATCTCTGGGATACGTCTAGAGAGGGGGATTGGAGAGTCAGGAAATAGAAGAATGGTAGTGTATCGTTTGTTTAAGGGTTCACCTCTCTGCCGATCTATTCTGGTGTGTCTGTTAGAGACACAACACCCTGGAGAAATCTGTTCTGCTAATCTCTGTGTGTGTGTGTGTGTGTGTCTGTGTGTGTGTGTGTGTGTGTGTGTGTGTCTGTGTGTGTGTGTGTCTGTGTGTGTGTGTGTGTGTGTGTGTGTGTGTGTGTCTGTGTGTGTCTGTGTGTGTGTGTGTGTGTATGTGTGTGTGTGTGTGTGTCTGTCTGTCTGTCTGTCTGTCTGTCTGTCTGTCTGTGTGTGTGTGTGTGTGTGTGTGTGTGTGTGTCTGTGTGTGTGTGTGTAGGAATCGGTTGTGCTAAGCTGAGCTCTGCCAGCTGGATGTACAGCACTGTGACGCTAAGCTGAGCTCTGCCAGCTGGATGTACAGCACTGTGACGCTAAGCTGAGCTCTGCCAGCTGGATGTACAGCACTGTGACGCTAAGCTGAGCTCTGCCAGCTGGATGTACAGCACTGTGACGCTAAGCTGAGCTCTGCCAGCTGGATGTACAGCACTGTGACGCTAAGCTGAGCTCTGCCAGCTGGATGTACAGCACTGTGACGCTAAGCTGAGCTCTGCCAGCTGGATGTACAGCACTGTGACGCTAAGCTGAGCTCTGCCAGCTGGATGTACAGCACTGTGACGCTAAGCTGAGCTCTGCCAGCTGGATGTACAGCACTGTGACGCTAAGCTGAGCTCTGCCAGCTGGATGTACAGCACTGTGAAGCTAAGCAGTGGAAGCCCAACTAGCGAAGAGAGAGATATTATCACTATCGCACCTCTTTACACTTTCTCTGATGTCTGGGACGTTTAGTTTTACGAGCGGAGGGAAGGATGGGAGCTACAGACATTGGTAGGAGGATACTGTAGTGTTAACGGCTGATTCTAAGTCATGTTGGCAATTGGACTTTGTTACTGTGAATTTCAAACAAAACTGGGAGATTTTCTAGCGTAGTGGTGGACTCTACGCGCTATGGCTGAGGTCACTATTAGTTATATACACGCCCCAGACAGTTTATTGGTACACCCATCTAGTACCGGCCAGGACAGCGGAGTCACTGACCCCCTTCCGGAGACACTTGAAACCCTACCTCTTTAAGGAATACCTGGGATAGCATAAAAGTAATCCTTCTACCCCCCCCCCCCCCCCCTACCCCACCCCCACAAAAAAAAAAAAAAATTATTATTATTATTATAAAATAATATAATAATAATAATAATAATAATAATAATAAAAAAAAATTAAAAAAACAACAACAAAAAACAACAACAATATATATATATAAAGCAATTGAAAATTAAAAACATACTCAAAAAAAATAACAATTGAAAATTTGATATCAAAAAATTACAAAATATTTTAAAAATATTTTAAAAAGATTCAAAAATACACAAATAAATAGAAAACTTGGAAAGTGGTTATCCCACTGGCTATAAGGTGAATGCACCAATTTGTAAATCGCTCTGGATATGAGCGTCTGCTAAATGACGTAATGACACTCCTGAGTGGCGCAGTGGTCTAAGGCACTGCATCGCAGTGCTAGCTGTGCCACTAGAGATCCTGGTTCGAATCCAGGCTCTGTCGTAGCAGGCTGCGACCGGGAGACCATGGGGCGGCGCACAAGTCGTCCAGGGTAGGGGAGGGAATGGCAGGCAGGGAAGTAGCTCAGTTGGTAGAGCATGGCGTTTGCAACGCCAGGGTTGTGGGTTCGTTTCCCACGGGGGGCCAGTATAAATAAATAATGTATGCACTCACTAACTGTAAGTCGCTCTGGATAAGAGTGTCTGCTAAATGACGTAAAATGTAAATGTAATGTAAATGTTAAAGAGTCTACGACTTTCAGAATGAGACTGATATGAGGTAAATGATTAACAAATGACTGTTAAATGATAAGAGATATCTAGATGTCTTTAGAGTTAATTCGGGAAACGGTAACTCGTTAAACAACTTTTCCCGTGGTGCCCCAAATTCCTAATGAGTTAATTGTTACATGATTAATTTAATCTAGTAACAATTAAACATAGTAGGTGATTATTCGACAAATAATAGTCACCACAATAATGAGAGTCACGTCACGACACACCATATCTCTTTCAACTATGCTGTGATGTTTAACATACAATTTGAATCTATCTAATCGAATAGAATCCACAGATTGCGAGTTGAAGAGAAATACTTTTACTAAAAGTATTAGTATATTAGTAACTGACTGACCAGGTCTCTCCAGAACTCCCAACAATGCTATTTCTAGGGTCGATTTTTGATGAAAGTTTTGCTTTTTGAGCCATTCTTAACCTAAAGAAGCACTCCGGGGGGCACCCAAAAAAGTTCACACTGATGTACCCCAAAATTTAAATTTTGTTAAATTTCACAAAATTTTTTTAAAAAGAGAAAACTTTTTTTTAAAAAGTTTTTTAATTAAACTCCCCCCCTTGTCTCCAAACCCCCAAAAAATTTTTTCAGGATTTTTTGATTTTTTTTTGACCTTCCTCCCACCAAGTTTTTCCCAAACAGAAACTGCCGCCCGTTTTTTGGTTTTCCCCATTATAAAACTTTTTTTTTTCCCCAAAATTCTTAATTTTATTAAAAAAAAACAAGTTTTTTCCCTTCTTTTTTTTTAAATTAACCGGGTGCAATAAATTTTAAAATATGGGATTCCCTTTCCCCGATCCTCTCCCTCAAAACCATTTGGGGTTTCGGGAAAAAGAAAAGCACTTTTTTTTCCAAATTTCACCCGGCCCTTTAAACCAACTTGAACCCTGTCCTCCCCCTTTTTTCCGGTTCCCCCGGAAAGGCAAAACCCCCCCTCCGGTGGGGGTCCTTTCCCAGGACTAAAAAAAAAAACCTCTGTAGGGGGGCCCAGCAAAAAAAACCAAGGCCCCTTCTTTTTTTGGGCCACCCTTTTTTAGGGGGGGGGGCCTCTTCAAATTAGGTTAACCCCTCTGTGGAGTAAAGAGGGCCCCCCCCTTTTCTTTTCCCAAGGGCCCTCCCCGGAAACCCGCCCGGGGTTTGCCTGTTCCAAGGCCCCTTCCCTATTGGGGGCCTCTTTTGAAAAAACCCCCCTTTTCTTTTTTTCCCCCCCCCCTCTTGTGGCCAAGGGGGGAAAGGCCCTCTGTCCCCAAAAAGGGTGCCAGGGCCCTTGGGGGGGGCAGTGGGGCCCTCCCCGAAAGGAGGGAGAACCTGGGGCAGTGGGGCGGGTTTTTCTGGGGGCTATGAGGGAGGCAAAAACCCCCTCTGGTGGGGCTAGTGGGGGGAGCGGGGCCCCTGGGGGGCTTGTGGGGGGCGACGGGGCCCTCGGGTGGGGGCTTTGGGAGGGAGACAAGCCCTCTGGTGGGGGCCCAGTTAGGGAGACGAGGCCCTCTGGGGGGGGCTTGTGGGAGAAGGGGCCCTCTGGTGGGGGCTAGTGTAGGGAGACAGACCCCTTTTTGGGGGGGGCTAGTGGGGGAACAGGGCCCCTGGGGGGGGCGTGTGGGGAGACGAGGCCCCTGGGTGGGGGCAAAAGGGGGGAGTCGGGTCCTCTGGTAAAGGCAAATGGGGTGGGGGACGCCCGGGATCACCCCAAAAGCTGTTTCCCCCATATTGACTCCTGCCCTTAATGTGTGGGGAGAAGCAAAGGGTCAAGGTTCTAATCTGGTTCTAATCTGGTTCTAATCTGGTTCTAATCTGCTGACCAAATATGCACTCAGATGATCAACACAGAAACACTACCTTTACTCACGTTCTAAGACCAGGTTTCTGCCCAAAAATCAAAAAAAACTTTTAAGAGTATTCAAACCATTTGGGTCTGAATTATCATTTAAAACTGTCATTTGCATTAAGGGAAATCCCATTTCCCTACCTTGGTGTCTCTCAGAGGACGGAGAAGCTACTGGAGACTATTGACCAGCTGTTCCTGGAGTTCTCTAAGAGGTCAGCTCCCTTTAACAACTGGATGGAAGGAGCCATGGAAGACCTGCAGGGCCTGTTCCCTATTCCCTGGGTTAAACCAGGGAAGACATGTTCATAGTTCACACTGTGGATGACATCCAGAAAGACATGTTCATAGTTCACACTGTGGATTACATCCAGGTAAAGACATGTTCATAGTTCACACTGTGGATGACATCCAGGTAAAGACATGTTCATTTTTTCACACTTTGGTGACATCCAGTAAGACTTTTATAGTTCACACTGTGGATGACATCCAAAGGACTGTTCATAGTTCACCTGTGGGGTGACTCCGGTAAAACATGTTCATATTCCACTGTGGATACTCCGGAAGACATGTTCATATTCACACTGTGGATGCATCCAGTAAACTGTTCAAGTTCACACTGGGATACATCCGGTAAAAACCTGTTCTAGTTACACTGTGATGACATCCCCGGGAAAGACATTTCATAGTTTTTACACGTGGATGACACCAAAAGACTTTCATTTCACACTGGGATGACATCCGGTAAAAATGTTTTATAGTTCCCAAATGTGGATGACATCCAGGTAAAGACTTTCATTCCCTGTGGGGGCCCAGTGCTTTTTTCTTTTCCCTGTTTTGGATGACATCCAGTTAAAGAAGTTTCATTTTCCCCCTTGATGAATCCGGAAGAATGTTTTACCCCCTGTATGAAATTTTTAAAAACATGTTTATGTCAAAGGTGGGTGCAATCCCGGGAAAACTGTTCTTCACACTGTTGGGTGACATCCCGGAAAACCCGTTCAAGCACCTTGGGGGCTCCGGTAAGACAATTTTTGTTCACATTTGGAATGACATCCAGGTAAAGAAATTTCCCCTAAAACAACTTATGACACCCTAAAACCTTTTAATTTTCCCTGTGGATGACTCCCGGTAAAGACAGTTATATTTCCCTTTGGTTTTCCCAGGTGGACGGATCTTTTTTTTCTGTCTTTCTTGTTTTCTCTCTCTCCCTCCCCTCTTTTCCTCCTTCTCTCCCTCTCCCCCTGTTTTCATGGTTGGTTCCTTTATTGTTCAATCAGGGCCTGTTGCTTGCCCTTCAAAACGCATGTTGAAAAATTATTTATTTTAAAACATTCATTTCCCCCCCCCCCAAAAGTACCCGGTTTCCCCCCCCCCTAATTTCCCTTCCACCGCCCCCAGGTACCAGCCATAATTTTAAAACCCTTCCGGCTGTGTGAGGAAGGCCTTCTAAATCTCCAGGAGGAACAAAATGCCCAAACTCGGCATTCTCCGGACCCACCAAACCCCCGTGAAACCAAACCCGGTGGAGTGGGGCGGTACTACTACGTCTCCGGTCCCCAAAAGCAAACCCCCCTTTTGGGACCTTTTGAAACCTTTTGGCGCAGACAATTCCCCGGGGTTTTTTTTTTCTTTACTTAATCGGGGGTTCCTTTAATCTCGTCCCGAAACCCCCCCAGGGTTGCCAGGTTTCAAAAGAACCTTCTAACAACCCGTTCATAAAATGGTTGATTTTTCCGTTATTCAATGGGGTTTTGCTTTGGTTAGAACAAAAGCCTGGGCCCCGGGAGAAAAAACCCGGGCAACGCCCACCGGGCCCCGCCTTGGTAAATTTTTTGGTTGGGGAAAAACCCCGGTTAACTAAGTTTCCCTTTCCCTAAGTGACTTTTAAAAAAACCCCCTTAACCCTTTTGGGAAAGGGCCCCCCGTGTGAACCTTTAGGGGAAAACCCCTTTTGGGGGCGAATCCATTTGAAACCCTTTTTTTCCCCCTTCCAAACCAAAAGGAAATTCGGGGGGGTTTTTTTCCCCGGGGGTTTTTGGTTTTTTCCCCGGGTTGACCATTTCCCCCGGGGGGAGGGGTTCCCTTTTTTGGGGGGAAAAAAAAGGGGAAAAAACCCCCCCAAAAGAAATTTAAAAAAAACCCCAGCCCTTTTTTTTAAAAAGGCCCCAAAAAGTTTTCAAAAAGGGGTTTCCCCCCCAAAAAAAATTCATTTTTTTTTTCCCCCAAAAAACCCTTTAAAAAGGGTTCCAAAAAAATAAGCCCTTGGTGTGCATTATCAGTGGGTACCTGGGATAAAAACCCTGGTAACTATAGACATAACCAGTTTCCCAGACACAGATTAAGCCCAGTCCTAAGACTAAAAAAAGCACTCAAATTAATATTCTGTGTTGGGGACACCGTCCCACAGTGTGAACCAGATTCTATAGTGTTAACCCTTTCTGTGCTGGTCGATCAGGTGAAGAAGCTGGTTCCCCAGAGAAACGGTGTTCTCCAAGAGGAGCTAGCTAGACAGCATGCCAACGAGCGTCTCAGACGACAGTTTGCTGCCCAGGCCAACATCATCGGACCGTGGATCCAGACCCGGATGGAGGTGAGACAGATACCTACCTACCTGTCCTGACCTTTGGTCACCTGGCATCTGTACAACAGGCGGCTGGTGGCACCTTAATTGGGGAGGACGGGCTCACCGTAGCGGCTAGAACGAAATGAATGGAATCAAACACATGGGTTCTATTCCATTCACTCCATTCCAGCCATTATTACGAGGTGTCCTCCCCTCACCTGCCTCCTGTGCTGTACACCTGTAGGGATCTGTACCTTCTAGGGTTGAGAGGATCATTTCCATTTCAATTCAGTCCGTTCAGGAAGTAAATATTGGAATTTGGAATTTCAGTTGACTTCCTGAATGGAGGTAATTGCAATGGAATTGACCCGAACCGAACCATAGCACCTAGGGCCCAAGCTGCATATTGAAAACCCACCAACCAACCAACTAAGCAACCATCCTGTTTTTAACAGATGCTAAACAGTGCCCTGCAGCTCAGGGGATGTTCTGAACAGAAACACAATGGCTACGTCCCAAATGGCTCCCTATCCCCTATATAGTGCACTACTTTAGACCAGATCCCTGTGGACCCTGGGCAAAGGCAGTGTGCACTATATAGGGGATAGGGAGCCATTTGGGACGCATCCGATGGTGATGATCACCTTTTTCTTCTCCTCTCTCCACCAGGAGATCGGTCGTAGTTCCGTTGACATCGGAGGTTCTCTGGAGGACCAGATGAGCCAGCTGAAGCAGTTCGAACAGGTCATCATCAACTACAAGTCCAACATCGACAAGCTAGAGGGAGACCACCAACACATCCAAGAGTTCCTCATCTTCGACAACAAGCACTCCAACTACACCATGGAGGTACGTGGCCTATTATGGGGCTTGAACAGGTCAGAGATCATTCTCACATATAAAATGTTGGGATCTGTTTTATGATACCGTTGCCTCACTCCTCTTGGCCTAATGGTTAAGCTGGTATTTTTCCACGCGGGAGACCGGGGTTCAGATCCCACCCTGTGACTTGGCTTTCGGCCTCGTGACCGGTAGACGGGGGTTCAGATCCCACCCTGTGACTTGGCCTTCAGCCTCCTCTCTCTCTGTCTCTCTCTCTCTCTCTGTTTCTCTCTCTCTCTCTCTCTCTCTCTCTGTCTATCTGTTTCTCTCTCTCTCTCTCTCTCTCTCTCTCTCTCTCTGTCTCGCTGTCTCTCTGCAGCATATCCGTGTGGGTTGGGAGCAGCTGTTGACCACCATCGCTAGAACCATCAATGAGATCGAGACCCAGATTCTGACGCGGGACGCTAAGGGCATCAGCCAGCAACAGATGAACGAGTTCCGCCAGTCTTTCACTCACTTTGACAGGGTACTGTGTCCCTCTGTGTCTTTCCTCTAACCTTAACCTGCTGTGTCCCTCTGTGTCTTTCCAGTGTCCCTGATCCTAACCCACTTCGACAGGGTGCTGTGTCCCTCTGTGTCTCTCTGTGTCTTTCCAGTGTCCATGACCCTAACCCACTTCGACAGGGTACTGTGTCCCTCTGTGTCTCTCTGTGTCTTTCCAGTGTCCCTGATCCTAACCCACTTCGACAGGGTGCTGTGTCCCTCTGTGTCTTTCCTCTAATCTTAACCTGCTGTGCCTCTCTGTGTCTTTCCAGTGTCCCTGACCCTAACCCACTTCGACAGGGTACTGTGTCCCTCTGTGTCTTTCCAGTGTCCCTGACCCTAACCCACTTTGACAGGGTACTGTGTCCCTCTGTGTCTCTCTGTGTCTTTCCAGTGTCCCTGACCCTAACCCACTTCGACAGGGTTGTGTATCCCTCTGTGTCTTAAGTGTCTCTGTCCTTTTCCTGTGTGGCGATGACATTTATATTTATTGTATCTAAGTCCAGGAATGTGTCTTATCTAACTCAAGGCCTTGACCGCTTTTGGTTTGTAACTCACTTCTTAGTATTTAGTCAAATGTTTGTAATATTACGGGACGTTACAGATCAAAACACAATCCATGGTAATGACGTTCAGCTAATTAACTCACGTTTACTGACACCATGGATCGTGTGTGTGTGTGTGTGTGTGTGTGTGTGTGTGTGTGTGTGTGGTGCGTGCGTGCGTGCGTGCGTGCGTGCGTGCGTGCGTGCGTGCGTGCGTGCAGCTTAGTGGTTAAGTGCGTTGTGCCAGTAACCGAAAGGTCGCTGGTTCTAATCCCAGAGCCGACTAGGTGAAAAATCTGTCGATGTGCCCTTGAGCAAGGCACTTAACCCTAATTGCTCCTGTAAGTCGCTCTGGATAAACGTCGTCTGCTAAATGACTAAAATGTAAATGTGTTGGCTGTGTGGCTGCCTGCAGGACAGGTCTGGCAGACTGCCCTGTGAAGAGTTCAAAGCTTGCCTGGTCAGCCTGAGTGAGACATAACAACCAGGTACTGACCAAACCATGTGCACCTGGTACTAAACCCTGACTCCTCCCCCTGGCATGGCAGCAGTCACATGTTGTGCGCTAACACAAGCAGTAACACCACCATTCAGCACTAGTTATGTGCTAACTGCAGTAACACCACCATTCAGCACTAGTTATAATAATAATAAAGTGACTTGTTCTCTGTAGGAGGTTAATGTTTGGTGTATATTGATCTCAAGGGGCTTCTCTCTAGACAGCTCAGCTCTCCACTTTACAGTATTATAATATATTCAGGGTATGTATTCATAAAGCCTCTCAGAGTAGGAGTGTTGATCTAGGATCAGTTTAGCCTTTTACATTAAAGTATATGGACAGGGGTTGACCTGGTCCCAGATCAGCACTCCATATGGACAGGGGGTGACCTGGTCCCAGATCAGCACTCCATATGGACAGGGGTGACCTGGTCCCAGATCAGCACTCCATATGGACAGGGGTGACCTGGTCCTAGATCAGCACTCCATATGGACAGGGGTGACCTGGTCCCAGATCAGCACTCCATATGGACAGGGGTGACCTGGTCCTAGATCAGCACTCCATATGGACAGGGGTGACCTGGTCCCAGATCAGCACTCCATATGGACAGGGGGTGACCTGGTCCCAGATCAGCACTCCATATGGACAGGGGTGACCTGGTCCTAGATCAGCACTCCATATGGACAGGGGTGACCTGGTCCTAGATCAGCACTCCATATGGACAGGGGTGACCTGGTCCTAGATCAGCACTCCATATGGACAGGGGTGACTTGGTCCCAGATCAGCACTCCATATGGACAGGGGGTGACCTGGTCCCAGATCAGCACTCCATATGGACAGGGGTGACCTGGTCCTAGATCAGCACTCCATATGGACAGGGGTGACCTGGTCCTAGATCAGCACTCCATATGGACAGGGGTGACCTGGTCCCAGATCAGCACTCCATATGGACAGGGGTGACCTGGTCCTAGATCAGCACTCCATATGGACAGGGGGTGACCTGGTCCTAGATCAGCGCTCCTACTCTGAGAGGTTCCCTGAATACAGGCCCAGATGTGTATGTATAGTATTGTGTTGCTGTAGGTATCGCTGAAGGCAATATCTCTCTCTGTTAGAGAAACAATGGCATGGTGTTATCACAGGCCCTCCTCTCATCCAAGACACTGAATGAATGATCTTCTCTCTCTCTCTCTCTGTTCTTTGTCTTGTGCTTCTTGTCACTGTCTGTCTGTCTGCCTGTCTGTCTGCCTGCCTGCCTGCTTGCCTGCCTGCCTGCCTGTCTGTCTGTCTGTCTGTCTGTCTGTCTGTCCTGTCTGTCTGTCTGTCTGTCTGTCTGCCTGTCTGCCTGTCTGCCTGTCTGCCTGCCTGTCTGCCTGTCTGTCTGTCTGTCTGTCTGTCTGTCTGTCTGTACGTCTGTCTGTCTGTCTGTCTGTCTGCCTGTCCGTTTGTCTGTCTGTCTGACCATCTATCTGTCTGTTGTCTCCTCTATTCCTCTCCTTGTCATATCCACTATCCCCCTCTCCCCCCTCCCTCCCCACACCTCTCCTTGTCATATCCACACTGGACTCTCTCACCCTGTACCCCCATCCTCCATCCCCTGTCATTGGACATGTGGCTTGGTCTGTCTCTCCATTGCCCTCTCTCCTCCCCTCCTCCTCTACCTCCTCCTCCTCTCCTCCTTCTCCACCTCTCCACTCCTCTCTCTCTCCTCTACCTCTACCTCTACACTCCCCCCTCCTCTCCACTCCCCCCTCCTCCACACTCCCCCCCTCCTCTCTCCACTCCCCCCTCCTCTCCACACTCCTCCTCTCCTCCTCCTCCTCCTCCTCCTCTCCTCTCCACTCCCCCTCCTCCTCTCCACCCCCCCTTCCCTACCTCCTCCTCTCCACTCCCCCCTCCTCTCCACACTCCCTCCTTCTCCTTCTCCTCCTCCTCCTCCTCCTCCCCCTCCTCCTCTCCACTCCCCTCCTCCTCTCCACCCCCTTCCCTACCTCCTCCTCTCCACTCCCCCCCTCCTCTCCACACTCCCTCCTTCTCCTTCTCCTCCTCCTCCTCCTCCTCCACCACCTCTCCACTCCCCCCTCCTCTCCACTCCCCTCTCCCTCTCCACTCCCCCTCCTCCTCTCCACCCCCTTCCCTACCTCCTCCTCCTCCTCTCCACTCCCTCTCCTCCTCCCCCTCCTCCTCCACCTCTCCACTCCTCTTCCTCCTCCCCCTCATCCTCCTCCTCCTCTCCCACCCTGCAGAAGAAGAAAGGAGGCATGGAGACGGATGACTTCAGAGCATGTCTGATCTCCATGGGCTACGATCTGGTAAATACATAGAATGAGCTGTCATAAGAGTGTCATAAGGGTGTCATAAGAGTGTCATAAGAGTGTCATAAGACTGTCATAAGACTGTCATAAGAGTGTCATAAGAATCTAAAGGCCTCACACGATCATTCTGACAAAACGTCCTCACTGTTAAGTAACCTGTCTTTAATAGTGAGTACATTTTGTCAGAATTATCAATATTAGCTTTCAGTGTATTTAAATGCCCAAGAATCATTGTGAAACTGTTGATCATGGTCCAAAATGCCCCCAGATATGCTGACTATTGGTGATGTGGTCTTTATCTTCCAGGGTCACTCAGTGGCTGCTCTGTCTCAAACCACTCCCTATTCACCACCTCTGACCAGGGACCATAGGGACCATAGGGCTCTGTTAAAAAGTAGTGCACTACATAGGGGATAGGCTGCCATTTGTGATGCAGCCACTAGAGAGAACAGCTGTCTAGGTCTGCAAGACAGACACACAGTCATTCATGCCCTCTGACCACGAGACAATACAGGCTCTTATTAATAATGGCAGAATCACCCCCAGTCACTTATACTGCTACAAGACCATGGCGCTTGCCTACGGAGCTGTGAGGGGAACGGCACCTCCGTACCTTCAGGCTCTGATCAGTCCCTACACCCAAATGAGGGCATTGCGTTCATCCACCTCTGGCCTGCTAGCCCCCCTACCTCTGCGGAAGCACAGTTCCCGCTCAGCCCAGTCAAAACTGTTCGCTGCTCTGGCACCCCAATGGTGGAACAGCGGAGTCACTCACCACCTTCCGGAGACACTTGAAACCCCACCTCTTTAAGGAATACCTGGGATAGGATAAAGTAATCCTTCTACCCCCCCCTTACCCCAACCCAAACCCCAACCCCAAAACTAAAAAAAAAAAAAAAAACGTAAAGTGGTTATCCCACTGGCTATAAGGTGAATGCACCTATTTGTAAGTCGCTCTGGATAAGAGCGTCTGCTAAATGACGTAAATGTAAATGTAATACTGTAGATAATGATACGAAACCATGTCTCTCTCTCTCTCTCTGTTCCCCAAGCCATCACAATGACACCACACCACACATAGGGAATCCCATGATGTATGCCAGGGATGTAAATGAAGGTGTGTTGTTTTTAGGTTGGTCACAAGGCCTTTGTCCTGTTACGTTTAATATGGAAGCGCTCTTGGAACATTCCCTGGTCTCTCTCTGCAGTGCACAGACAACACCCTGTTGCCCGTACACTGACCTACTCTGTTGACCAGAGCACACAGGGCCTTGGTCAACACTAGTGCACTCTGTTGACCAGAGCACATAGGGCCCTTGGTCAACACTAGTGCACTGTAAAGGGACTAGGGTGCCATTTGGGACACAGACAGGCCACTGCTGATCCCTACTCTGACCTGCTAATCAAACATAACCCTTAACAGGGTTGGACATGAGTAATGTATCAAACATAACCCTTAACCGGGTTGGACATGACTAGCACAGCTATCTCATCTGTCTGTTAATCACAACGTGATTGACTCAATGTTAGCCTGCTTCCAGATCTGTTTGTTACGTCTCCTGACAATGACCATAGGAATTGGCAAGACAGCAACAACAGATCTGGGACCTGGCTAAATCAATGTGGCTGTTGTAATAAAGCAGCCTGATTATACTATGCTCTGTGATTTGTAGGGAGAGTCTGAGTTTGCCCGCATCATGTCTCTAGTGGATCCCAACGGGTCCAACAAGGTGACCTTCCAGTCCTTCGTTGACTTCATGACTAGAGAGACGTCCGACTCAGACACCTCAGAGCAGGTCCTCGCCTCCTTCAAGATCCTGGCTGCTGATAAGGTGGGGAGTGGTGGTTCTCTCTGTCTCATTCACTTGCTTTCTCTCTCACGCTTTGTTTTATCTGTCTCGCGCACGCTTACTTTCTCGCACGCTTTCTCTCTCTCTCTCTCTCTCTCTCTCTCTCTCCCTCTCTCTCTCGCTCTCTGTCTTTATCTAGTCAAGTCAAGTCACAATGGTATTTAAAGTTTATTTTACAATGTCATCTCAAATGTGGTCACTAATGTCTCTCTGTTGTATCCTTTCCATAGCCCTTCATCCTGCTGGAGGAGCTGCGTAGAGAGCTGCCCCCAGAGCAGGCAGAATACTGTATCGCCAGGATGCCCCTCTACAATGGGCCTGATGGGGTCCCAGGGGCCCTGGACTACAGTGCCTTCTCCACTGCCCTCTATGGGGAGAGCGACCTCTAGCGTCACAACCCCGGAACTGCACCCTGACCTGCTATCAGTCGCTCCCACTTTGTCCCCACACATTTACATCTAAACAGATACATATTTTTGACCGGTACTAAAGGAATTTAAATGTTTGAGAAATACAAAGCATTTTAAAGCAGTTTCATGAGTGTCATTTCTAAAGAGTAGGGAGAAATATTTACTTCAAAGGACTGAGCAGGATTCATTCACTAGATTTTAAAAATGATGATGCAATAAATGTGAAATTACATGTAATTCGCATAAAAATAATTTACACATAAGAGGAACTTACACATAAGAAGCGCTACTGAGTTATTTACTAGTCACCTGTGGAGAACTAAAGATATGAATTCATGAGAAGCTTGTATTGTATGAGTGCTTGCATTGTTCTAAATTATTACATAAAAAAACAGGGGATGTTTTTGCCTCCCCTGTTCAGAGCCTAAAATGAATGGAAAAAGGACCCAGTATGTTAACAGCCTGGTCCCAGATCAGTTTGTGCTCTGGCCTACTACATTGTCAATCCAATGTCTGGCAAGAGAGCAGAAACAGACTGGCACCCAGGCTACATTATCATTCACCCAGGCTACATTATCATTCACCCAGGCTACATTATCATTCACCCAGGCTACATTATCATTCACCCAGGCTACATTATCATTAACACAGGCTACATTATCATTCACAAAGGCTACATTATACTTCATTTCACCCAGGCTACATTACATTCACCCAGGCTACATTATAATACATTATCATTCCCCAGGCTACATTATCATTCACCCAGGCTACATTATCATTCACCCAGGCTACATTATCATTCACCCAGGCTACATTATCATTCACCCAGGCTACATTATCATTCACCCAGGCTACATTATCATTCACCCAGGCTACATTATCATTCACCCAGGCTACATTATCATTAACACAGGCTACATTATCATTCACAAAGGCTACATTATACTTCATTTCACCCAGGCTACATTATCATTCACCCAGGCTACATTATAATACATTTCACCCAGGCTACATTATCATTCGCCCAGGCTACATTATCATTCACCCAGGCTACATTATCATTCACCCAGGCTACATTATCATTCACCCAGGCTACATTATCATTCACCCAGGCTACATTATAATACATTTCACCCAGGCTACATTATCATTCGCCCAGGCTACATTATCATTCACCCAGGCTACATTATCATTCACCCAGGCTACATTATCATTCACCCAGGCTACATTATCATTCACCCAGGCTACATTATCATTCACCCAGGCTACATTATCATTCACCCAGGCTACCAGTATGCCAGAACTGCAGTTCTGTTTATTGTCAAAATGAGTGAAAAGTTGGCTTTCATGATTAGAGTAGAGTGATCTTGAGTCAGTCTAGCATTATCCCCACTAATGTTTAGGGTTACGCTTGGGGGAGGGGAATCTGATCCAAGGTCTTAATGTTTAGGGTTCCGCTCGGGGGAGGGGAAGCTGATCCAAGGTCTTAATGTTTAGGGTTCCGCTCGGGGGAGGGGAAGCTGAACCTAGGTCTGTACCTAGGGAAAACTTCACCCCAGAGCCTCATGATATAACAGTAAACTAGGCCGTGTTGATGCCAGAAACATACAATAATGTAACTGTAAAAGAACAAACTGTTTGTCTGGGTAAAACTACAATCTTAGTCCCCTCAGCCGCTGGGGTGGAGGTGCCATGAGTCTGAAGTTGAAGCAATACTAGTGTAAGACAAACAAGCAGAAAATAAACTCAGTAATTAAAACGTTGATGTGGTTTTTCTTCTGTTTTGCTGAACGTTCTGAATAGCCTACCTGTTGATTAGGCCACAATACATGCATATGCATATTTTGTTTCTTTTAGGACATGTTTTTTTCCTCAGACTTTATTTTCTAGGCTTTGTGATTCTTTGCAAGTTATGTAAGAAAATAACATCAATGGAAGTCTATACATTTCCAGACATGATTTTAAACTTGTTATAAATACAGGCTTGGTATCTGTGTCAAACCCACTTTCCCTTTCAGGGAGCTGCCACCTTGAACATGTAATCAGGTGAGCTAGACCCTTTCACGCCATGTTGTAGCAAAGTTCTGTACTAGATGTTCCCTCAACGTTACTCAATGAAAGCTGCGCATGCGTGGTTCTGCAGCTCCTACACAGCAAGACGGAGAAAAGTTTCTCTGCTGATTTATGAGCGTCGAGTTGACAAGCAGACGCCGGCGGTGTCAACATACTTCTCCGTGTGCAGTGGAGGTTCCTCGTCAGGCCGTTTTTGTTCCTTTGGAGTGAAAAATAAGAAGAATACAAGCCATGGCTCCTACAATGCATGAAAGCTCAACAAAAAAAGGTAAACTGTTGCAACTTGCTGGTTTAGTATTTAGCTAGATATCAGCTGGCTGGCTAGCAGCTGTCAGTGACTAGCTAGCTAGTCCACATTGGTTAGCTAGCTAGCTAGCTGTATATCCACGTGAACTTATGGTCGACATTGTTTCAGCCAGCTAGCCTAAATGCTAAACGTTTTTTTTTGGTATTTGTTTATAGATAGCGAGCTAGTCAATATGTGCTAGCTGCATGTTCCACTGCCTGGTAGAGTAACGTTGGCAAAACATGACAAATAGTTAGACTGTTAGCAGGGAACATTTCGTTCTAACTTCTAATCTTGGGTCAGAATGTCAGGACACCAGGGGTGTATTCATTATGCTTATCCTGGTGCAAAACGTTTCTTAAACTGAAGCAAACGGAACGAAACGGCGAGGGACCTACCTGGATTTGTCCAATAGAAACTCTCGTTTTAGTTGCAAAACGTGCAACTAGAGTTTCTAATGGACAAATCAATGTAGTTCTAAACCCCGTTTCGTTCCGTTAGTTTCCGTGGGGGTGGCTGGCCTGTCAAGTGTACATCACATCTATGTAAACAAACAAGCGAGCTAACTAACATCTTAGATCAGGGATGGGCAACTGGTGGGCCTTTTGTAGGCCCGGGGATGAATCCCCCTCAATATCACTGTTGAGAGTTAGAATAGTAGAAAACACCAGGTGCAATTTCGACATTTGGTTGTGCATCAACAGTTTTTCTCTTGATATGTTGGTCACCTGACAGTAACTCAATTGCCCATGTCAGCTACGTTTTTTAAAAGATTGGTAAATGAGTCTAGCGGCCAGCTAATAATAATAATAATAATAATAATATCTAAACTTGTAGTAATCTTGCTTTGAAACTGCAACATTTTCTCAACGCCCCATGGCAAAATGTGTAGAATTGCAGGAAATTAACTCTTAAAACGTTTTTTTCTCTCCACTGTCAAGAGGGGGGCCGCTAAAATGTTTTGCTCGCAAGTTGGGGCCCCCAAAAGGCTAGGGCAGGCTCTGACTGCATGTGGGTATGCAGACCCCCCCCCCCCCCCCCCCCCCCCTTCAGATGTTTTGTGGCCCCACCCCTGTCAACGTTGTCCATCCCTGGACTCAGCTAGTACTGAACAGCACTGTAATTCACTGCCAGCATTCACCACCACTGGTGTAATGGTCTAATTCACTGGCAGCATTCACCACCACTGGTGTAATGGTCTAATTCACTGCCAGCATTCACCACCACTGGTGTAATGGTCTAATTCACTGCCAGCATTCACCACCACTGGTGTAATGGTCTAATTCACTGCCAGCATTCACCACCACTGGTGTAATGGTCTAATTCACTGGCAGCATTCACCACCACTGGTGTAATGGTCTAATTCACTGGCAGCATTCACCACCACTGGTGTAATGGTCTAATTCACTGGCAGCATTCACCACCACTGGTGTAATGGTCTAATTCACTGCCAGCATTCACCACCACTGGTGTAATGGTCTAATTCACTGCCAGCATTCACCACCACTGGTGTAATGGTCTAATTCACTGCCAGCATTCACCACCACTGGTGTAATGGTCTAATTCACTGCCAGCATTCACCACCACTGGTGTAATGGTCTAATTCACTGCCAGCATTCACCACCACTGGTGTAATGGTCTAATTCACTGCCAGCATTCACCACCACTGGTGTAATGGTCTAATTCACTGCCAGCATTCACCACCACTGGTGTAATGGTCTAATTCACTGCCAGCATTCACCACCACTGGTGTAATGGTCTAATTCACTGCCAGCATTCACCACCACTGGTGTAATGGTCTAATTCACTGCCAGCATTCACCACCACTGGTGTAATGGTCTAATTCACTGCCAGCATTCACCACCACTGGTGTAATGGTCTAATTCACTGCCAGCATTCACCACCACTGGTGTAATGGTCTAATTCACTGCCAGCATTCACCACCACTGGTGTAATGGTCTAATTCACTGCCAGCATTCACCACCACTGGTGTAATGGTCTAATTCACTGCCAGCATTCACCACCACTGGTGTAATGGTCTAATTCACTGCCAGCATTCACCACCACTGGTGTAATTGTCTAATTCACTGCCAGCATTCACCACCACTGGTGTAATGGTCTAATTCACTGCCAGCATTCACCACCACTGGTGTAATGGTCTAATTCACTGCCAGCATTCACCACCACTGGTGTAATGGTCTAATTCACTGCCAGCATTCACCACCACTGGTGTAATGGTCTAATTCACTGCTGTAACTAACTTTATGACTAACTTCTACTGGTTTGCAAGATATCAAACAGATGTCATGAGACTGGACAGCTAGTCAGTGTTGTCAAACCAGCTACCAGGTACTGAGCATTTTCAGGAAGTGAAAGTCAGACAGCCAGCAGGACCAATGAGTGGAGTCAGAAACACGATGCACCTGCATGGGGAGTTGTCAGGTAAATATGTTGTCAGGTAAAGATGCTGTCAGGTAAAGATGCTGTCAGGTAAAGATGTTGTCAGGTAAAGATGTTGTCAGGTAAAGATGTTGTCAGGTAAAGATGTTGTCAGGTAAAGATGTTGTCAGGTAAAGATGCTGTCAGGTAAAGATGCTGTCAGGTAAAGATGTTGTCAGGTAAAGATGTTGTCAGGTAAAGATGTTGTCAGGGAAAGATGTTGTCAGGTAAAGATGTTGTCAGGTAAAGATGCTGTCAGGTAAAGATGTTGTCAGGTAGAGATGCTGTCAGGTAAAGATGTTGTCAGGTAAAGATGCTGTCAGGTAAAGATGCTGTCAGGTAAAGATGCTGTCAGGTAAAGATGCTGTCAGGTAAAGATGCTGTCAGGTAGAGATGTTGTCAGGTAAAGATGCTGTCAGGTAAAGATGCTGTCAGGTAGAGATGTTGTCAGGTAGAGATGTTGTCAGGTAGAGATGTTGTCAGGTAGAGATGTTGTCAGGTAAAGATGTTGTCAGGTAAAGATGTTGTCAGGTAAAGATGTTGTCAGGTAGAGATGTTGTCAGGTAGAGATGTTGTCAGGTAAAGATGTTGTCAGGTAAAGATGTTGTCAGGTAAAGATGCTGTCAGGTAAAGATGCTGTCAGGTAGAGATGTTGTCAGGTAGAGATGTTGTCAGGTAGAGATGTTGTCAGGTAAAGATGTTGTCAGGTAGAGATGTTGTCAGGTAGAGATGTTGTCAGGTAAAGATGTTGTCAGGTAAAGATGTTGTCAGGTAAAGATGTTGTCAGGTAAAGATGTTGTCAGGTAAAGATGTTGTCAGGTAAAGATGTTGTCAGGTAAAGATGTTGTCAGGTAAGATGCTGTCAGGTAAAGATGTTGTCAGGTAAAGATGTTGTCAGGTAAAGATGTTGTCAGGTAAAGATGTTGTCAGGTAAAGATGTTGTCAGGTAAAGATGCTGTCAGGTAAAGATGCTGTCAGGTAAAGATGCTGTCAGGTAAAGATGTTGTCAGGTAAAGATGTTGTCAGGTAAAGATGTTGTCAGGTAAAGATGTTGTCAGGTAAAGATGCTGTCAGGTAAAGATGTTGTCAGGTAAAGATGTTGTCAGGTAAAGATGTTGTCAGGTAGAGATGTTGTCAGGTAGAGATGTCAGGTAAAGATGCTGTCAGGTAAAGATGTTGTCAGGTAAAGATGTTGTCAGGTAAAGATGTTGTCAGGTAAAGATGTTGTCAGGTAAAGATGTTGTCAGGTAGAGATGCTGCTGCCGTGTACAGTGTTATGAAGAAAACCCTCTAAAGGATCACCTTATCAATGACATTATTTCAACCTGATGCATCAGAAGATGGCTCAGTAAAGTGTTTTCAATGTGGTCATCAGGTCAGATTCACAGCCCGACTATTAGACTGTAAACTGACTGTATCCACTCCATGTAGCTACAGGAGGCCCTAGCAGACCTTCCCTACTGACTGTATCCACTCCATATAGCTACAGGAGGCCCTAGCAGACCTTCCCTACTGACTGTATCCACTCCATGTAGTTACAGGAGGCCCTAGCAGACCTTCCCTACTGACTGTATCCACTCCATGTAGCTACAGGAGGCCCTAGCAGACCTTCCCTACTGACTGTATCCACTCCATGTAGCTACAGGAGGCCCTAGCAGACCTTCCCTACTGACTGTATCCACTCCATGTAGTTACAGGAGGCCCTAGCAGACCTTCCCTACTGACTGTATCCACTCCATGTAGCTACAGGAGGCCCTAGCAGACCTTCCCTACTGACTGTATCCACTCCATGTAGCTACAGGAGGCCCTAGCAGACCTTCCCTACTGACTGTATCCACTCCATGTAGCTACAGGAGGCCCTAGCAGACCTTCCCTACTGACTGTATCCACTCCATGTAGCTACAGGAGGCCCTAGCAGACCTTCCCTACTGACTGTATCCACTCCATGTAGTTACAGGAGGCCCTAGCAGACCTTCCCTACTGACTGTATCCACTCCATGTAGTTACAGGAGGCCCTAGCAGACCTTCCCTACTGACTGTATCCACGCCATGTAGTTACAGGAGGCCCTAGCAGACCTTCCCTACTGACTGTATCCACTCCATGTAGCTACAGGAGGCCCTAGCAGACCTTCCCTACTGACTGTATCCACTCCATGTAGCTACAGGAGGCCCTAGCAGACCTTCCCTACTGACTGTATCCACTCCATGTAGCTACAGGAGGCCCTAGCAGACCTTCCCTACTGACTGTATCCACTCCATGTAGCTACAGCAGGCCCTAGCAGACCTTCCCTACTGACTGTATCCACTCCATGTAGCTACAGCAGGCCCTAGCAGACCTTCCCTACTGACTGTATCCACTCCATGTAGTTACAGGAGGCCCTAATCAGGCCTACTACTGTTGTGTCGTCTGCAAACTTGATGATTGAGTTGGAGGCTTGCGTGGCCACGCAGTCATGGGTGAACAGGGAGTACAGGAGGGGGCTGAGCACGCACCCTTGTGGGGCCCCTGTGTTGAGGATCAGCGCAGTGGCAGTGTTGTTGCCAACCTTCACCACCTGGGGGGCAGCCCGTCAGGAAGTCCAGGACTCAGTTGCACAGGGTGGGGTTCAGACCCAGGGCCTCGAGCTTAATGATGAGCTTGGAGGGTACTATGGTGTTGAATGCTGAGCTATAGTCAATGAACAGCATTCTTACGTAGGTATTCCTCTTGTCCAGATGGGATAGGGCAGTGGGCAGTGTGATGGCGATTGCATCGTCTGTGGATCTATTGGGGCGGTAAGCAAATTGAAGTGGGTCTAGGGTGTCAGGTAAGGTAGAGGTGATATGATCCTTAACTAGCCTCTCAAAGCACTTCATGATGACAGAAGTGAGTGCTACGGGGCGATAGTCATTTACTTCAGTTACCTTTGCTTTTGTGGGTACAGCAACAATGGTGGACATTTTGAAGCAAGTGGGGACAGCAGACTGGGATAGGGAGAGATTGAATATGTCCGTAAACACTCCAGCCAGCTGGTCTGCACATGCTCTGAGGACGGGGCTAGGGATGCCATTTGGGCCGGACTCCTTGCGAGGGTCTTATGTCTTACTCACGTCGGCCACGGAGAACGAGAGCCCACAGTCCTCGGGAGCGGGCCCCGTCGGTGGCAGTGGGTTATCCTCAAAGCTGGCGAAGAAGGTGTGTTTAGCTTGTCCGGGAGCGAGACGTCGGTGTGGCTGGTTTTCCCTTTGTAATCCGTGGCTGTCTGTAGGTCCCTGCCACGTACGTCTCGTGTCTGAGCCGTTTGAATTGACTCGGGGAAGAGGATCAGAGTATAATACACAGATCTATTTCTAGGTGTCATATGTTCTACATACACTGACTGGAATATATTTCACCTAGCAGGCGCCAGGCTCGGGGAGGTGTTAGGGAAGAGGATCATGATTCTAGATCCGGGGACGGGAACATGTCCTAACCTTATTAACATGTAATATGCTAACTGCATACCTCAGGTGCTGGCCCCAGCAGACCTGCCCTAGAGGCCGAGCTCAGGGAGGTGTTGGGGAAGAGGATCATGATTCTAGATGGAGGGATGGGCACCATGATCCAGGAGAGGCGATTGGAGGAGGAGCACTTCAGGGGGGAGGAGTTTAAAAACCACACCCACAGCCTGAAGGGCAACAACGACCTGCTGAGCATCACCCAGAGTGACGTAATCTACAACATACACCAGGTACAGTGATGTCATCTACAACATACACAAGGTACAGTGATGTCATCTACAACATACACCCGGTACAGTGATGTCATCTACAACATACACATGAAGGTAACAGTGATGTCCAATACTACAACATACACCAAGTACAAGGTGGATGTCTCTACACACCTATACACACAGGTACAAGTGAGGTCATCTACAACCATACACAAGGGTACAGTGATGGTCATCTACACCATGACACAAGGTACAGTGACTGTCCATCTACAACCATACACAAGGTACAGTGATGTCAGCTACAAGCATACACACGGAAGTAGATGTCAGCGACAACCATACACAACGGTAGAAAACAGTGATGTCATCTACAACCATAACACAAAAAAACGGTAAACAGTGGATGATCATCTACAACCATACACACGGTACAAGTGAATGTCCATCTACACCATACACACGGTACAGTGATGTCATCTACACCATACACACGGTACAGTGATGTCATCTACAACATACACACGGTACAGTGATGTCATCTACACCATACACACGGTACAGTGATGTCATCTACACCATACACACGGTACAGTGATGTCATCTACACCATACACAAGGTACAGTGATATCATCTACAATATACACAAGGTACAGTGATGTCATCTACACCATACACACGGTACAGTGATGTCATCTACACCATACACACGGTACAGTGATGTCATCTACACCATACACAAGGTACAGTGATGTCATCTACAACATACACAAGGTACAGTGATGTCATCTACACCATACACACGGTACAGTGATGTCATCTACAACATACACAAGGTACAGTGATGTCATCTACAACATACACCAGGTACAGTGATGTCATCTACACCATACACACGGTACAGTGATGTCATCTACAACATACACAAGGTACAGTGATGTCATCTACACCATACACACGGTACAGTGATGTCATCTACAATGTACACTACCGTTCAAAAGTTTGGGGTCACTTAGAAATGTCCTTGTTTTCCATGAAAACATACATGAAATGAGTTTGAATAGGAAATATAGCAAAATGAATAGGAAATGTAGTCATTGACAAGGTTAGAAATAATGATTTGTAAGTGAAATAATAATTGTGTCCTTCAAACTTTGCTTTCGTCAAAAAATCCTCCATTTGCAGCAATTACAGCCTTGCAGACCTTTGGCATTCTAGTTGTCAATTTGTTGAGGTAATCTGAAGCGATTTCACCCCATGCTTCTTGAAGCACCTCCCACAAGTTGGATTGGCTTGATGGGAACTTCTTACGTACCATACGGTCAATCTGCTCAAAAGGGTTGAGATCCGGTGACTGTGCTGGCCACTCCATTATAGACAGAATACCAGCTGACTGCTTCTTCCCTAAATAGTTATTGCATAGTTTGGAGCTGTGCTTTGGGTCATTGTCCTGTTGTAGGAGGAAATTGGCTCCAATCAAGTGCCGTCCACATGGTATGGCATGGTGTTGCAAAATGGAGTGATAGCCTTCCTTCTTCAAGATCCCTTTTACCCTGTACAAATCTCCCACTTTACCACCACCAAAGCACCCCCAGACCATCACATTGCCTCCACCATGCTTGACAGATGGCATCAAGCACTCCTCCAGCATCTTTTCATTTGGTCTGCGTCTCACAAATGTTCTTCTTTGTGATCCGAACACCTCAAACTTCGATTTGTCTGTCCATAACACTTTTTTTTCCAATCTTCCTCTGTCCAGTGTCTGTGTTCTTTTTATTGGCCAGTCTGAGATATGGCTTTTTCTTTGCAACTCTGCCTAGAAGGTCAGCATCCCGGAGTCGCCTCTTCACTGTTGACGTTGAGACTGGTGTTTTGCGGGTACTATTTAATAAAGCTGCCAGTTGAGGACCTGTGAGGCGTCTGTTTCTCAAACTAGACACTCTAATGTATTTGTCCTCTTGCTCAGTTGTGCACCGGGGCCTCCCACTCCTCTTTCTATTCTGGTTAGAGCCAGTTTGCGCTGTTCTGTGAAGGGAGTAGTACACAGCGTTGTACGAGATCTTCAGTTTCTTGGCAATTTCTCACATGGAATAGCCTTCATTTCTCAGAACAAGAATAGACTAACGAGTTTCAGAAGAAAGTTATTTGTTTCTGGCCATTTTGAGCCTGTAATCGAACCCACAATTGCTGATGCTCCAGATACTCAACTAGTCTCAAGAAGGCCAGTTTTATTGCTTCTTTAATCAGCACAACAGTTTTCAGCTGTGCTAACATAATTGCAAAAGGGTTTTCTAATGATCAATTAGCCTTTTAAAATGATAAACTTGGATTAGCAAACACAACGTGCCATTGGAACACAGGACTGATGGTTGCTGATAATGGGCCTCTGTACGCCTATGTAGATATTCAATAAAAAATCAGCCGTTTTCAGTTACAATAGCCATTTACAACATTAACAATGTCCACTGTATTTCTGATCAATTTAATGTTATTTTAATGGACAAAAAAGTTGCTTTTCTTTCGAAAACAAGTACTTTTCTAAGTGACCCCAAACTTTTGAACTGTAGCGTACACAAGGTACAGTGATGTCGTCGACAACGTACACAAGGTACAGTGATGTCGTCGACAACGTACACAAGGTACAGTGATGTCGTCGACAACGTACACAAGGTACAGTGATGTCGTCGACAACGTACACAAGGTACAGTGATGTCGTCGACAACGTACACAAGGTACAGTGATGTCGTCGACAACGTACACAAGGTACAGTGATGTTGTCGACAACGTACACAAGGTACAGTGATGTCATCGACAACGTACACAAGGTATGGTCAGTGGGTTAAAGAGTGGTTCAAGTTATCCTAGACAGCAAAAACCTGAGATGTAAAAGTTAGGCTGTTATCAATGCACCTGCCTGTTATGCTATAGTAATAATATTTCCGGTGTTTTTTGTGGGAGATCTAGAGAGAGAGAGAGATAGACGGACATACAGACAGAAAGACGGGATGAGATGATCTCTCTGTTTGGCAAATACCTGCTGCGTGTGAATAAGCGTTGACGTTCCTCCCTTGTGTTTGTCGGTAGGAATACTTGCTTGCCGGGGCAGACATCATTGAGACCAACACCTTCAGCAGCACCTGCATCGCCCAAGCTGACTATGGACTGGAACATTTGGTAAGACAGCTGGTTAGTGGGTAGTCTGTAGAGAGCTGGTTAGTGGGTAGTCTGTAGAGAGCTGGTTAGTGGGTAGTCTGTAGAGAGCTGGTTAGTGGGTAGTCTGTAGAGAGCTGGTTAGTGGGTAGTCTGTAGAGAGCTGGTTAGTGGGTAGTCTGTAGAATAACACTCAGATTACCAATCAAAAGCTATTATCACAACATCGGATCGAATTTAGTCAGTAAGGGATGGGTCGCTAAAGGTGACTTGACTCAATAAATTACTCACTCACTCAGGTTGTTTGACTCACTGATCTATTCCCATGCCTATCGAATGAACAAGGTGTCAGCAGAGAATTGTTTGACTCACTGATCTTTTCCCAGGCCTATCGAATTAACAAGGTGTCAGCAGAGAATTGTTTGACTCACTGATCTTTTCCCAGGCCTATCGAATGAACAAGGTGTCAGCAGAGAATTGTTTGACTCACTGATCTTTTCCCAGGCCTATCGAATGAACAAGGTGTCGGCAGAGAATTGTTTGACTCACTGATCTTTTCCCAGGCCTATCGAATGAACAAGGTGTCAGCAGAGAATTGTTTGACTCACTGATCTTTTCCCAGGCCTATCGAATGAACAAGGCGTCAGCAGAGAATTGTTTGACTCACTGATCTTTTCCCAGGCCTATCGAATGAACAAGGTGTCAGCAGAGAATTGTTTGACTCACTGATCTTTTCCCAGGCCTATCGTATGAACAAGGTGTCAGCAGAGAATTGTTTGACTCACTGATCTTTTCCCAGGCCTATCGAATGAACAAGGTGTCGGCAGAGAATTGTTTGACTCACTGATCTTTTCCCAGGCCTATCGAATGAACAAGGTGTCGGCAGAGAATTGTTTGACTCACTGATCTTTTCCCAGGCCTATCGAATGAACAAGGTGTCAGCAGAGATAGCCAGGAAAGCAGCAGATGATGTCACCAACCAGACAGGTCAGCTGATAAAGATAAGAGTATCGTTATTGGAGAAAAAAAAAAAAAAACTATTTCACATTGACAACATTGTGTGTAATATATGTATTTTACATGTTTTTTTTAACTCACAAATATTTGTTTATATTTTTTATTACCAGGTTGTAAAAGATACGTGGCAGGCGCTATGGGCCCCACCAATAAAACCCTGTCAGTGTCCCCCTCCGTGGAAAGACCAGACTTCAGGAACGTCAGTAAGAGAACAGCTCGTTGTTTCATCCCTCATTTTCTTTATTCCCCTTTTTTTTTAAACTGGTGTCACGGCAAACTGTCAGTCTGTCAGCTGTCACTACAGATCTACGGTATGTAGCGGTCTTAACTGTCACCCTATCAGGGTCTCTCTCTCTAAGGCCTCTCAGGTGAGTCTTGATAAACCATTGCTGACCTCCAGAGTTGACAGTACTATCTCTGATTACATTTACATTTTAGTCATTTAGCAGACGCTCTTATCCAGAGCGACTTACAGTTAGTGAATACATATACATTTTTTTTATACTGGCCCCCCGTGGGAATCGAACCCACAACCCTGGCGTTGCAAACGCCATGCTCTATCAACTGAGCTACATCCCTGCCGGCCATTCCCTCCCCTACCCTGGACGACGCTGGGCCAATTGTGGTGTCACCATGGTGAGTGCTTCTGTTTCCTCCCCCTCAGCCTTTGATGAGCTGGCTGACGCCTACGCTGAGCAGGTCCGGGGCCTGTTGGATGGAGGTGCGGATATTATCATGGTGGAGACCATCTTTGACACGGCCAACGCCAAGGTAGACCTTCCTTACTCACTTTGACAGTCGTCTAGTTTGTATCAGTACGATTCTAGTTTTACATACGATTCCGTACAATTTAGCTCAGCTGGTAGAGCACGGCGCTTGTAACGCCAAGGTAGTGGGTTCGATCCCCGGGACCACCCGTACACAAAAAAATGTATGCACGCATGACTGTAAGTCGCTTTGGATAAAAGCGTCTGCTAAATGGCTTATTATTATTATTATTATCGTAATCAATGTGTCAATTCTGATCTTGTCATAAAAGGCAGCACTGTTTGCGATCGACAAACTGTTTGAAGAGAGCTACGAACCAAGACCTATATTTGTAAGTATGAATTCTGTCTTTCGTCAGTATATCTCTTAGCTCAATGCCAATAAATGTTCAGTCCGTCACTAGAGAGGAGTTCATGTTCCTATATTGTGCGGAGCTGCTAGATTGTTTTGATTGATTGATTGATTGATTGATTTTGCCGTGCTGCCAGATCTCCGGGACCATAGTGAACAGGAGTAGGGCGGTGGCCGTATTACAGCCATACCGGCAGTCACGAGGCACCAATCAAATTCCCTGTGACTGTCGGTCACGGTAATTCCATCCAAAACTGTGCAAATGAATGACGCTGATGTGTAGCCTACCAAACTTGCTAAAATGGCCTGGTACTCAGACCTCTATTGTCCCTCTAATCCAGGGTTGTGAAACGCATTCCACGGAGGGCCGAGTGTCTGCTGGTTTTCGGTTATTCCTTTCAATTAAGACTTAGACAACCAGGTGAGGGGAGATCCTTACTAAGACCTAGACAACCAGGTGAGGGGAGTGCCTTACTAAGACCTAGACAACCAGGTGAGGGGAGTTCCTTACTAAGACCTGGACAACCAGGTGAGGGGAGTTCCTTACTAAGACCTGGACAACCAGGTGAGGGGAGTTCCTTACTAAGACCTAGACAACCAGGTGAGGGGAGTTCCTTACTAAGACCTAGACAACCAGGTGAGGGGAGTTCCTTACTAAGACCTAGACAACCAGGTGAGGGGAGTTCCTTACTAAGACCTGGACAACCAGGTGAGGGGAGTTCCTTACTAAGACCTGGACAACCAGGTGAGGGGAGTTCCTTACTAAGACCTAGACAACCAGGTGAGGGGAGTTCCTTACTAAGACCTAGACAACCAGGTGAGGGGAGTTCCTTACTAAGACCTAGACAACCAGGTGAGGGGAGTTCCTTACTAAGACCTAGACAACCAGGTTAGGGGAGTTCTTTACTAAGACCTAGACAACCAGGTGAGGGGAATTCCTTACTAATTAGTGACCTCAAATTAATCAATCAAGTCCAAGGGAGGAGTGAAGACCGTTCTCTAAACACTTCATGATTTGAATAATCTGAAGGATTAGGACAGATGGAGATGGGAGTTAGAGCTCCTCCCCCCCCAAAAAGCCCCGGACCCAATATGCATAAATACATTCCTAAAGGACCTAAAGGACCGCCGGGCCGATCCGAGTGAAGGAAGCAGCAGAAAAGCCAATTGTTTTGCTACGTTATTAAACCGGAGCCATGGAGAAAGGGAGAGAGAGGCACAGTGAGCAGCTGTAGGCTACTAAGGTGCAGAGGCCATGTGGTGTGGGAATGTATGATTAAGACATGGGAGGCTCGGAGCACTGGAGCACAGAGGGGAGACCACAACCACTGATATCTCCCGCTAGACTAACCACAGCCGCTGATAGCTCCCGCTAGACTAACCACAACCGCTGATATCTCCCGCTAGACTAACCACAACCGCTGATATCTCCCGCTAGACTAACCACAACCGCTGATATCTCCCGCTAGACTAACCACAACCACTGATATCTCCCGCTAGACTAACCACAACCACTGATATCTCCCGCTAGACTAACCACAACCGCTGATATCTCCCGCTAGACTAACCACAACCACTGATATCTCCCGCTAGACTAACCACAACCGCTGATATCTCCCGCTAGACTAACCACAACCGCTGATATCTCCCGCTAGACTAACCACAACCGCTGATATCTCCCGCTAGACTAACCACAACCACTGATATCTCCCGCTAGACTAACCACAACCACTGATATCTCCCGCTAGACTAACCACAACCGCTGATATCTCCCGCTAGACTAACCACAACCACTGTTATCTCCCGCTAGACTAACCACAACGGCACCATAGTGGATAGGAGTGGGCGTACTCTCTCAGGACAGATTGATTATGCTTCTAGATATCTGGCACCACAGTGGACAGGAGTGGGCGTACTCTCTCAGGACAGATTGATTTTCCTTCTAGATATCTGGCACCATAGTGGACAGGAGTGGGCGTACTCTCTCAGGACAGATTGATTGTGCTTCTAGATATCTGGCACCATAGTAGACAGGATTTTGCTTCTAGATATCTGGCACCATAGTGGACAGGAGTGGGCGTACTCTCTCAGGACAGATTGATTGTGCTTCTAGATATCTGGCACCATAGTGGACAGGAGTGGTCGTACTCTCTCAGGACAGATTGATTTTGCTTCTAGATATCAGGCACCATAGTGGATAGGAGTGGGCGTACTCTCTCAGGACAGATTGATTGTGCTTCTAGATATCTGGCACCATAGTGGACAGGAGTTGGCGTACTCTCTCAGGACAGATTGATTGTGCTTCTAGATATCTGGCACCATAGTGGACAGGAGTTGGCGTACTCTCTCAGGACAGATTGATTGTGCTTCTAGATATCTGGCACCATAGTGGACAGGAGTTGGCGTACTCTCTCAGGACAGATTGATTTTGCTTCTAGATATCAGGCACCATAGTGGATAGGAGTGGGCGTACTCTCTCAGGACAGATTGATTGTGCTTCTAGATATCTGGCACCATAGTGGACAGGAGTGGGCGTACTCTCTCAGGACAGATTGATTTTCCTTCTAGATATCTGGCACCATAGTGGACAGGAGTGGGCGTACTCTCTCAGGACAGATTGATTTTCCTTCTAGATATCTGGCACCGTAGTGGACAGGAGTGGGCGTACTCTCTCAGGACAGATTGATTGTTCTTCTAGATATCTGGCACCATAGTGGACAGGAGTGGGCGTACTCTCTCAGGACAGACAGGAGAGGCCTTCGTCATCAGTGTGTCCCACGCCAAACCTCTCTGGTGAGTCACCACATTCTGCTTCAGGACTTCAATACTACCTTGTTGTTGTAGACTTCCACATATTTGTCCTCAAGTTTCTTGCTATTTTATATTCAAATAAACTTCAGATCTGCTGGAGAGACTAATGGAATCTACAACATTAAAGCGGAATGTCCTGTTTTTCAAATGATACTGTGTCTTATTTTGACCTCCATAAGACTGTGTCTCAATAGACTGATAAACAGTGTGTTCATCTCTTCCAGTATCGGTCTTAACTGTGCCTTGGGAGCCACTGAGATGAGGCCTTTCATTCAAGCTATTGGGAAATGCACCACTGCTCACGTCTTGTGCTACCCCAATGCAGGTAACCAGCGCCCATCCATCCCAACTTACCCAGCAACTTAGCATCTAGCTAGCTAACCTTTTGTGTTCACAACCACCGTCTGCCATTTTCACACCCCTCTGCTTGCTCCAGGTCTCCCCAATACCTTTGGGGGATACGATGAGACCCCAGAGTTGACAGCCTCACATTTAAAGGTAAACTTATCGATTTTATAGCTGGTCTTCCCAATGAATGATGTATCGAATGATTCAGCCAAATGAATAAATATCATACCCCCCCCCCCCCCCCCCCCCAAAAAAAAAAAATGCTAACCTCCCCTGTTATTGTAATGGTGAGAGGTTAGCATGTTTTAGGGGTATGATATAAAATGCTAACCTCCCCTGTTATTGTAATGGTGAGAGGTTAGCATGTCTTGGGGGTATGATATAAAATGCTAACCTCCCCTGTTATTGTAATGGTGAGAGGTTAGCATGTTTTAGGGGTATGATATAAAATGCTAACCTCCCCTGTTATTGTAATGGTGAGAGGTTAGCATGTCTTGGGGGTATGATATAAAATGCTAACCTCCCCTGTTATTGTAATGGTGAGAGGTTAGCATGTTTTAGGGTTATGATATTTGTGTGTCTTAACTTTCTCACTCATTATTATTCACGATTAATTCAGGACTATCCGTAATCATGGTAACGTCCACATTAATGTAGAAGTGATCAGAAACATATTCTATTCTTATTTACAATAAAAGTGACTCCAAAATGACACAATACGTTATTTACCGTTCATTTCTATTGGGCACAAAATAATCTGAAACACAACAGAAACAAACAGCAAATGCATCCAACAAGTTTGTAGAGTCACAAGCTTGATGTAATCATTGTGTGCTATGTATATGGGACCAAATACTAAACTTTTGACTACTTTAATACACAAGTAAATTTGTCCAAATACTTTTGGTCCCCTAAAATGGGGGGTCTGTGTACAAAAAGTGCTTTAATTTCTAAACGGTTCACCCGATATGGATGAAAATACCCTCAAATGAAAGTTCTGGAGTACAGAGCCAAAACAACACAGCGTATCGCTGTCCCAATACTGTTGGAGATCACTACCTTTTGGTTTTGGTTTGATACGGCTTGTATACACACTGACCGTCTCTTATTTCTCTAGGAGTTTGCTACAGATGGTCTGGTGAATCTGGTTGGTGGATGCTGTGGAACGACTCCTGCACACATCAGGTGACTGATGTCTGCTCTGTCCTCTGACACTAGCTACTGTCCATAGATATAGAACTGATATATTGTCTATAGATATAGAACTGATATATTGTCTAATAGATATAGAACTGATATATTGTCTATAGATATAGAACTGATATATTGTCTATAGATATAGAACTGATATATTGTCTATAGATATAGAACTGATATATTGTCTATAGATATAGAACTGATATATTGTCTATAGATATAGAACTGATAGATATAGAACTGATATATTGTCTATAGATATAGAACTGATATATTGTCTATAGATATAGAACTGATAGATATAGAACTGATAGATATAGAACTGATATATTGTCTATAGATATAGAACTGATAGATATAGAACTGATATATTGTCTATAGATATAGAACTGATATATATATATATATATATATATATATATATATATATATATATATATATATATATATATATATATATATATATATATATATATATATATATATAGAACTGATATATTGTCTATATATATAGAACTGATATTGTCTATTCTGCTGTCTATAGATATAGAACTGATAGATATAGAACTCTCTGCTTGTGTTCAGGGCCATTGCTGAGAAAGTGAAGCACTGCCAGCCCAGAGTGCCCCCTACTGACGTCTTTCAGGACTACATGCTACTCGCAGGTAGAACATTTTACGTTTAAGTCATTTTAGCAGACGCTCTTACCCAGAGTGACTTACAGGAGCAATTAGGGTTTAAGTGCCTTGCTTAAGGGCACATCGACAGATTTTTCACCTAGTCGGGCTCGGGGATTAGAACCAGCGACCTTTCGGTAACTGGCACAACGCTCTTAACCACTAAAGCTACCTGCCGCCCCAGAACAACATCATTTTTAAATGAGCTCTGTATCCTTCCAGTCGTGGCCGTTCCAAGGGGGGCTGGTATTTATAAAGCGCTGCAGAGTATTAGTGCTGGTCTAGGATTCAGTTCTGCCTCTTAGATAATAAGGAATCCAATTTGCATAGACGGGGATGACCTGATCCTACTGTAGACCTGCTCTGAGATGTACCTTCTCAGTCGTGGCCGCGCCGATGAACAGCGGCAGCAAACCGCTGACGAGCTTTTCTCATCACAGCTTTGAGCATATTTTGTGTCACAGGTCTGGAGCCGTTCAGGATCGGTCCGTACACTAATTTCGTGAACATCGGCGAGCGATGCAACGTGGCTGGATCGAGGAAGTTTGCCAAGCTGATCATGTCCGGAAACTACGAGGTCAGCTATCTCTCCTTTATCCACCCTTTTTTTTATGATACGGTAACCACCTGAAATAAAACTCCCATCTTATACAGATTGCGTGATCATTGTAGCTAGCAATATCTTTATCTTCCATACCCATGTCTGGTGTACCAGGGTTATGTTCAGTAGGGCACACCGTATCAAAACTAACTTGGACACGTTGAGGTAGTTCCTCCCTGTTTCAGTCTATCTCCTTCTGTTTGGTGCCTAATGAACACAACCCTCTTACTGAACATGTTCTGTGCCTCTGTCTGTGAACCTGTCCCCCCCCCCCCCCGTCTGTCTCCAGGAGGCGTTGAGCATAGCCAAGACCCAGGTGGAGATGGGAGCCCAGGTCTTGGACATCAACATGGACGAGGGGATGCTGGAGGGTCCTGCCGCCATGGCCCGGTTCTGCTGTCTCATAGCTTCAGAACCTGACATCGCCAGGGTTGGGATCAACTGGACATTTCCAATACTGTCGTGATATATAAAGATAGATACCATGCGCACTGTTGAACGCTTCCAACGTTTAATCATGTTTCTAAAACCATTTACCATGATACTGTACCAATATAAGTAACGTTACTACGCACTTAGCTACAATAAAGCTGAACAACGTCATTGAAGTGCTGGGAGAGATGCAGGGGAAAACAAGACCGCTCTTAAGAACGGAGCTCCTCTACTAAATACGTCTAAAGCTGAAGTTCACTTCCCCCATCTGTCCCAGCTCTCCTCTTAGTCCTCCTCCCTCTCCTCTCCCAGGTGCCTCTGTGTATAGACTCGTCTAACTTCGAGGTGATCAAGGCGGGGCTGAAGTGTTGCCAGGGGAAGTGTATCGTCAACAGCATCAGTCTGAAGGAAGGAGTGGAGGAGTTTCTCCAGAGAGCTACGACTGTCAGACGCTACGGGGCTGCTGTGGTTGTAATGGCCTTCGACGAGGAGGGTCAGGTGAGACGGACAACTGGAGAGGAGCTGCTAGGATATAGATACCTAGAGGGAGACCCTGGGGAGGGGAGAACAGGTGAGACGGACAACTGGAAAGGAGCTGGGTGGATATAGATACCTAGAGGGAGACCCTGGGGAGGGGAGAACAGGTGAGACGGACAACTGGAAAGGAGCTGGGTGGATATAGATACCTAGAGGGAGACCCTGGGGAGGGGAGAACAGGTGAGACGGACAACTGGAAAGGAGCTGGGTGGATATAGATACCTAGAGGGAGACCCTGGGGAGGGGAGAACAGGTGAGACGGACAACTGGAAAGGAGCTGCTAGGATATAGATACCTAGAGGGAGACCCTGGGGAGGGGAGAACAGGTGAGACGGACAACTGGAAAGGAGCTGGGTGGATATAGATACCTAGAGGGAGACCCTGGAGAGGGGAGAACAGGTGAGACGGACAACTGGAAAGGAGCTGCTAGGATATAGATACCTAGAGGGAGACCCTGGGGAGGGGAGAACAGGTGAGACGGACAACTGGAAAGGAGCTGGGTGGATATAGATACCTAGAGGGAGACCCTGGGGAGGGGAGAACAGGTGAGACGGACAACTGGAAAGGAGCTGCTAGGATATAGATACCTAGAGGGAGACCCTGGGGAGGGGAGACCCTGGGGAGGGGAGAACAGGTGAGACGGACAACTGGAAAGGAGCTGGGTGGATATAGATCCCTAGAGGGAGACCCTGGGGAGGGGAGAACAGGTGAGACGGACAACTGGAAAGGAGCTGGGTGGATATAGATACCTAGAGGGAGACCCTGGGGAGGGGAGAACAGGTGAGACGGACAACTGGAAAGGAGCTGGGTGGATATAGATACCTAGAGGGAGACCCTGGGGAGGGGAGAACAGGTGAGACGGACAACTGGAAAGGAGCTGGGTGGATATAGATACCTAGAGGGAGACCCTGGGGAGGGGAGAACAGGTGAGACGGACAACTGGAAAGGAGCTGGGTGGATATAGATACCTAGAGGGAGACCCTGGGGAGGGGAGAACAGGTGAGACGGACAACTGGAAAGGAGCTGCTAGGATATAGATCCCTAGAGGGAGACCCTGGGGAGGGGAGAACAGGTGAGACGGACAACTGGAAAGGAGCTGGGTGGATATAGATACCTAGAGGGAGACCCTGGGGAGGGGAGAACAGGTGAGACGGACAACTGGAAAGGAGCTGGGTGGATATAGATACCTAGAGGGAGACCCTGGGGAGGGGAGAATAGGTGAGACGGACAACTGGAAAGGAGCTGGGTGGATATAGATACCTAGAGGGAGACCCTGGGGCTGGGAGAACAGGTGAGACGGACAACTGGAAAGGAGCTGGGTGGATATAGATCCCTAGAGGGAGACCCTGGGGAGGGGAGAACAGGTGAGACGGACAACTGGAAAGGAGCTGGGTGGATATAGATACCTAGAGGGAGACCCTGGGGAGGGGAGAACAGGTGAGACGGACAACTGGAAAGGAGCTGGGTGGATATAGATACCTAGAGGGAGACCCTGGAGAGGGGAGAACAGGTGAGACGGACAACTGGAAAGGAGCTGGGTGGATATAGATACCTAGAGGGAGACCCTGGGGAGGGGAGAACAGGTGAGACGGACAACTGGAAAGGAGCTGCTAGGATATAGATACCTAGAGGGAGACCCTGGGGAGGGGAGAACAGGTGAGACGGACAACTGGAAAGGAGCTGCTAGGATATAGATACCTAGAGGGAGACCCTGGGGAGGGGAGAACAGGTGAGACGGACAACTGGAAAGGAGCTGCTAGGATATAGATACCTAGAGGGAGACCCTGGGGAGGGGAGAACAGGTGAGACGGACAACTGGAAAGGAGCTGGGTGGATATAGATACCTAGAGGGAGACCCTGGGGAGGGGAGAACAGGTGAGACGGACAACTGGAAAGGAGCTGGGTGGATATAGATACCTAGAGGGAGACCCTGGGGAGGGGAGAACAGGTGAGACGGACAACTGGAAAGGAGCTGGGTGGATATAGATACCTAGAGGGATACCCTGGGGAGGGGAGAACAGGTGAGACGGACAACTGGAAAGGAGCTGCTAGGATATAGATACCTAGAGGGAGACCCTGGAGAGGGGAGAACAGGTGAGACGGACAACTGGAAAGGAGCTGGGTGGATATAGATACCTAGAGGGAGACCCTGGGGAGGGGAGAACAGGTGAGACGGACAACTGGAAAGGAGCTGGGTGGATATAGATACCTAGAGGGAGACCCTGGGGAGGGGAGAACAGGTGAGACGGACACCTGGAGAGGAGCTGCTAGGATATAGATACCTAGAGGGAGACCCTGGGGAGGGGAGAACAGGTGAGACGGACAACTGGAAAGGAGCTGGGTGGATATAGATACCTAGAGGGAGACCCTGGGGAGGGGAGAACAGGTGAGACGGACAACTGGAAAGGAGCTGGGTGGATATAGATACCTAGAGGGAGACCCTGGGGAGGGGAGAACAGGTGAGACGGACAACTGGAAAGGAGCTGGGTGGATATAGATACCTAGAGGGAGACCCTGGGGAGGGGAGAACAGGTGAGACGGACAACTGGAAAGGAGCTGGGTGGATATAGATACCTAGAGGGAGACCCTGGGGAGGGGAGAACAGGTGAGACGGACAACTGGAGAGGAGCTGGGTGGATATAGATACCTAGAGGGAGACCATGGGGAGGGGAGAACAGGTGAGACGGACAACTGGAAAGGAGCTGGGTGGATATAGATACCTAGAGGGAGACCCTGGGGAGGGGAGAACAGGTGAGACGGACAACTGGAAAGGAGCTGGGTGGATATAGATACCTAGAGGGAGACCCTGGGGAGGGGAGAACAGGTGAGACGGACAACTGGAAAGGAGCTGCTAGGATATAGATACCTAGAGGGAGACCCTGGGGAGGGGAGAACAGGTGAGACGGACAACTGGAAAGGAGCTGCTAGGATATAGATACCTAGAGGGAGACCCTGGGGAGGGGAGAACAGGTGAGACGGACAACTGGAAAGGAGCTGGGTGGATATAGATACCTAGAGGGAGACCATGGGGAGGGGAGAACAGGTGAGACGGACAACTGGAAAGGAGCTGCTAGGATATAGATACCTAGAGGGAGACCATGGGGAGGGGAGAACAGGTGAGACGGACAACTGGAAAGGAGCTGCTAGGATATAGATACCTAGAGGGAGACCCTGGGGAGGGGAGAACAGGTGAGACGGACAACTGGAAAGGAGCTGCTAGGATATAGATACCTAGAGGGAGACCCTGGGGAGGGGAGAACAGGTGAGACGGACAACTGGAAAGGAGCTGGGTGGATATAGATACCTAGAGGGAGACCCTGGGGAGGGGAGAACAGGTGAGACGGACAACTGGAAAGGAGCTGGTAGGATATAGATACCTAGAGGGAGACCCTGGGGAGGGGAGAACAGGTGAGACGGACAACTGGAAAGGAGCTGGGTGGATATAGATACCTAGAGGGAGACCCTGGGGAGGGGAGAACAGGTGAGACGGACAACTGGAAAGGAGCTGCTAGGATATAGATACCTAGAGGGAGACCCTGGGGAGGGGAGAACAGGTGAGACGGACAACTGGAAAGGAGCTGGGTGGATATAGATACCTAGAGGGAGACCCTGGGGAGGGGAGAACAGGTGAGACGGACAACTGGAAAGGAGCTGGGTGGATATAGATACCTAGAGGGAGACCCTGGGGAGGGGAGAACAGGTGAGACGGACAACTGGAAAGGAGCTGGGTGGATATAGATACCTAGAGGGAGACCCTGGGGAGGGGAGAACAGGTGAGACGGACAACTGGAAAGGAGCTGGGTGGATATAGATACCTAGAGGGAGACCCTGGGGAGGGGAGAACAGGTGAGACGGACAACTGGAAAGGAGCTGGGTGGATATAGATACCTAGAGGGAGACCCTGGGGAGGGGAGAACAGGTGAGACGGACAACTGGAGAGGAGCTGGGTGGATATAGATACCTAGAGGGAGACCATGGGGAGGGGAGAACAGGTGAGACGGACAACTGGAAAGGAGCTGCTAGGATATAGATACCTAGAGGGAGACCCTGGGGAGGGGAGAACAGGTGAGACGGACAACTGGAAAGGAGCTGGGTGGATATAGATACCTAGAGGGAGACCATGGGGAGGGGAGAACAGGTGAGACGGACAACTGGAAAGGAGCTGCTAGGATATAGATACCTAGAGGGAGACCATGGGGAGGGGAGAACAGGTGAGACGGACAACTGGAAAGGAGCTGCTAGGATATAGATACCTAGAGGGAGACCCTGGGGAGGAGAGAACAGGTGAGACGGACAACTGGAAAGGAGCTGGGTGGATATAGATACCTAGAGGGAGACCCTGGGGAGGGGAGAACAGGTGAGACGGACAACTGGAAAGGAGCTGGGTGGATATAGATACCTAGAGGGAGACCCTGGGGAGGGGAGAACAGGTGAGACGGACAACTGGAAAGGAGCTGGTAGGATATAGATACCTAGAGGGAGACCCTGGGGAGGGGAGAACAGGTGAGACGGACAACTGGAAAGGAGCTGGGTGGATATAGATACCTAGAGGGAGACCATGGGGAGGGGAGAACAGGTGAGACGGACAACTGGAAAGGAGCTGCTAGGATATAGATACCTAGAGGGAGACCCTGGGGAGGGGAGACCCTGGGGAGGGGAGAACAGGTGAGACGGACAACTGGAAAGGAGCTGGGTGGATATAGATACCTAGAGGGAGACCATGGGGAGGGGAGAACAGGTGAGACGGACAACTGGAAAGGAGCTGCTAGGATATAGATACCTAGAGGGAGACCCTGGGGAGGGGAGAACAGGTGAGACGGACAACTGGAAAGGAGCTGGGTGGATATAGATACCTAGAGGGAGACCCTGGGGAGGGGAGAACAGGTGAGACGGACAACTGGAAAGGAGCTGCTAGGATATAGATACCTAGAGGGAGACCCTGGGGAGGGGAGAACAGGTGAGACGGACAACTGGAAAGGAGCTGCTAGGATATAGATACCTAGAGGGAGACCCTGGGGAGGGAAGAACAGGTGAGACGGACAACTGGAAAGGAGCTGGGTGGATATAGATACCTAGAGGGAGACCATGGGGAGGGGAGAACAGGTGAGACGGACAACTGGAAAGGAGCTGCTAGGATATAGATACCTAGAGGGAGACCCATGGGGAGGGGAGAACAGGTGAGACGGACAACTGGAAAGGAGCTGCTAGGATATAGATACCTAGAGGGAGACCCTGGGGAGGGGAGAACAGGTGAGACGGACAACTGGAAAGGAGCTGGGTGGATATAGATACCTAGAGGGAGACCATGGGGAGGGGAGAACAGGTGAGACGGACAACTGGAAAGGAGCTGCTAGGATATAGATACCTAGAGGGAGACCCATGGGGAGGGGAGAACAGGTGAGACGGACAACTGGAAAGGAGCTGCTAGGATATAGATACCTAGAGGGAGACCCTGGGGAGGGGAGAACAGGTGAGACGGACAACTGGAAAGGAGCTGCTAGGATATAGATACCTAGAGGGAGACCCTGGGGAGGGGGAGAACAGGTGAGACGGACAACTGGAGAGGAGCTGGGTGGATATAGATACCTAGAGGGAGACCCTGGGGAGGGGAGAACAGGTGAGATGGACAACTGGAAAGGAGCTGGGTGGATATAGATACCTAGAGGGAGACCCTGGGGAGGGGAGAACAGGTGAGACGGACAACTGGAAAGGAGCTGGGTGGATATAGATACCTAGAGGGAGACCCTGGGGAGGGGAGAACAGGTGAGACGGACAACTGGAAAGGAGCTGGGTGGATATAGATACCTAGAGGGAGACCCTGGGGAGGGGAGAACAGGTGAGACGGACAACTGGAAAGGAGCTGGGTGGATATAGATACCTAGAGGGAGACCCTGGGGAGGGGAGAACAGGTGAGATGGACAACTGGAAAGGAGCTGGGTGGATATAGATACCTAGAGGGAGACCCTGGGGAGGGGAGAACAGGTGAGACGGACAACTGGAAAGGAGCTGGGTGGATATAGATACCTAGAGGGAGACCCTGGGGAGGGGAGAACAGGTGAGACGGACAACTGGAAAGGAGCTGGGTGGATATAGATACCTAGAGGGAGACCCTGGGGAGGGGAGAACAGGTGAGACGGACAACTGGAAAGGAGCTGGGTGGATATAGATACCTAGAGGGAGACCCTGGAGAGGGGAGAACAGGTGAGACGGACAACTGGAAAGGAGCTGGGTGGATATAGATACCTAGAGGGAGACCCTGGGGAGGGGAGAACAGGTGAGATGGACAACTGGAAAGGAGCTGGGTGGATATAGATACCTAGAGGGAGACCCTGGGGAGGGGAGAACAGGTGAGACGGACAACTGGAAAGGAGCTGGGTGGATATAGATACCTAGAGGGAACCCCTGGGGAGGGGAGAACAGGTGAGACGGACAACTGGAAAGGAGCTGGGTGGATATAGATACCTAGAGGGAGACCCTGGGGAGGGGAGAACAGGTGAGACGGACAACTGGAAAGGAGCTGGGTGGATATAGATACCTAGAGGGAGACCCTGGGGAGGGGAGAACAGGTGAGACGGACAACTGGAAAGGAGCTGGGTGGATATAGATACCTAGAGGGAGACCCTGGGGAGGGGAGAACAGGTGAGACGGACAACTGGAAAGGAGCTGCTAGGATATAGATACCTAGAGGGAGACCATGGGGAGGGGAGAACAGGTGAGACGGACAACTGGAAAGGAGCTGCTAGGATATAGATACCTAGAGGGAGACCCTGGGGAGGGGAGAACAGGTGAGACGGACAACTGGAAAGGAGCTGCTAGGATATAGATACCTAGAGGGAAACCCTGGGGAGGGGAGAACAGGTGAGACGGACAACTGGAAAGGAGCTGGGTGGATATAGATACCTAGAGGGAGACCCTGGGGAGGGGAGAACAGGTGAGACGGACAACTGGAAAGGAGCTGCTAGGATATAGATACCTAGAGGGAGACCCTGGGGAGGGGAGAACAGGTGAGACGGACAACTGGAAAGGAGCTGGGTGGATATAGATACCTAGAGGGAGACCCTGGGGAGGGGAGAACAGGTGAGACGGACAACTGGAAAGGAGCTGGGTGGATATAGATACCTAGAGGGAGACCCTGGGGAGGGGGAGAACAGGTGAGACGGACAACTGGAAAGGAGCTGGGTGGATATAGATACCTAGAGGGAGACCCTGGGGAGGGGAGAACAGGTGAGACGGACAACTGGAAAGGAGCTGCTAGGATATAGATACCTAGAGGGAGACCCTGGGGAGGGGAGAACAGGTGAGACGGACAACTGGAAAGGAGCTGGGTGGATATAGATACCTAGAGGGAGACCCTGGGGAGGGGAGAACAGGTGAGACGGACAACTGGAAAGGAGCTGCTAGGATATAGATACCTAGAGGGAGACCCTGGGGAGGGGGAGAACAGGTGAGACGGACAACTGGAAAGGAGCTGGGTGGATATAGATACCTAGAGGGAGACCCTGGGGAGGGGAGAACAGGTGAGACGGACAACTGGAAAGGAGCTGGGTGGATATAGATACCTAGAGGGAGACCCTGGGGAGGGGAGAACAGGTGAGACGGACAACTGGAAAGGAGCTGGGTGGATATAGATACCTAGAGGGAGACCCTGGGGAGGGGAGAACAGGTGAGACGGACAACTGGAAAGGAGCTGGGTGGATATAGATACCTAGAGGGAGACCCTGGGGAGGGGAGAACAGGTGAGACGGACAACTGGAAAGGAGCTGGGTGGATATAGATACCTAGAGGGAGACCCTGGGGAGGGGAGAACAGGTGAGACGGACAACTGGAAAGGAGCTGGGTGGATATAGATACCTAGAGGGAGACCCTGGGGAGGGGAGAACAGGTGAGACGGACAACTGGAAAGGAGCTGGGTGGATATAGATACCTAGAGGGAGACCCTGGGGAGGGGAGAACAGGTGAGACGGACAACTGGAAAGGAGCTGCTAGGATATAGATACCTAGAGGGAGACCCTGGGGAGGGGAGAACAGGTGAGACGGACAACTGGAAAGGAGCTGGGTGGATATAGATACCTAGAGGGAGACCCTGGGGAGGGAGAACAGGTGAGACGGACAACTGGAAAGGAGCTGGGTGGATATAGATACCTAGAGGGAGACCCTGGGGAGGGGAGAACAGGTGAGACGGACAACTGGAAAGGAGCTGGGTGGATATAGATACCTAGAGGGAGACCCTGGGGAGGGGAGAACAGGTGAGAACGGACAACTGGAAAGGAGCTGGGTGGATATAGATACCTAGAGGGAGACCCTGGGGAGGGGAGAACAGGTGAGACGGACAACTGGAAAGGAGCTGGGTGGATATAGATACCTAGAGGGAGACCCTGGGGAGGGGAGAACAGGTGAGACGGACAACTGGAAAGGAGCTGGGTGGATATAGATACCTAGAGGGAGACCCTGGGGAGGGGAGAACAGGTGAGACGGACAACTGGAAAGGAGCTGGGTGGATATAGATACCTAGAGGGAGACCCTGGGGAGGGGAGAACAGGTGAGACGGACAACTGGAAAGGAGCTGGGTGGATATAGATACCTAGAGGGAGACCCTGGGGAGGGGAGAACAGGTGAGACGGACAACTGGAAAGGAGCTGGGTGGATATAGATACCTAGAGGGAGACCCTGGGGAGGGGAGAACAGGTGAGACGGACAACTGGAAAGGAGCTGGTGGATATAGATACCTAGAGGGAGACCCTGGGGAGGGGAGAACAGGTGAGACGGACAACTGGAAAGGAGCTGGGTGGATATAGATACCTAGAGGGAGACCCTGGGGAGGGGAGAACAGGTGAGACGGACAACTGGAAAGGAGCTGGGTGGATATAGATACCTAGAGGGAGACCCTGGGGGAGGGGAGAACAGGTGAGACGGACAACTGGAAAGGAGCTGGGTGGATATAGATACCTAGAGGGAGACCCTGGGGAGGGGAGAACAGGTGAGACGGACAACTGGAAAGGAGCTGGGTGGATATAGATACCTAGAGGGAGACCCTGGGGAGGGGAGAACAGGTGAGACGGACAACTGGAAAGGAGCTGGGTGGATATAGATACCTAGAGGGAGACCCTGGGGAGGGGAGAAACAGGTGAGACGGACAACTGGAAAGGAGCTGGGTGGATATAGATACCTAGAGGGAGACCCTGGGGAGGGGAGAACAGGTGAGACGGACAACTGGAAAGGAGCTGGGTGGATATAGATACCTAGAGGGAGACCCTGGGGAGGGGAGAACAGGTGAGACGGACAACTGGAAAGGAGCTGGGTGGATATAGATACCTAGAGGGAGACCCTGGGGAGGGGAGAACAGGTGAGACGGACAACTGGAAAGGAGCTGGGTGGATATAGATACCTAGAGGGAGACCCTGGGGAGGGGAGAACAGGTGAGACGGACAACTGGAAAGGAGCTGCTAGGATATAGATACCTAGAGGGAGACCCTGGGGAGGGGAGAACAGGTGAGACGGACAACTGGAAAGGAGCTGGGTGGATATAGATACCTAGAGGGAGACCCTGGGGAGGGGAGAACAGGTGAGACGGACAACTGGAAAGGAGCTGGGTGGATATAGATACCTAGAGGGAGACCCTGGGGAGGGGAGAACAGGTGAGACGGACAACTGGAAAGGAGCTGCTAGGATATAGATACCTAGAGGGAGAACAGGATGCAGGTGGGATTCCATCCTGTTCTGCGATGGGAGTTTGGCTGACTGCAACTCTACTGCTGCGACAGGGTTTGGAACCCGTTACCTCATGGATAAAATACTGTGGCGTGACAATCAGGCCTTGAACAGCTGTCCTCTCTGTTTCCTCCAGGCCACTGAGACGGAGCGTAAGGTCGAGATCTGCAGCAGAGCCTATCACCTCCTGGTAACTCAAGTGGGCTTTGACCCTAATGACATCATCTTTGACCCCAACATCCTGACCATCGGCACGGGCATGGAGGAACACAGCGAGTATGCCATCAACTTCATCCGAGCCACCAGGCTCATCAAGGTAACTTGAGACCATGACATGTTTCTGCACATGAGCGATATAATAACCGCGATCGATAAAAGACAGTACTGTGCAGCCGTCTTCATCGACCTGGCCAAGGCTTTTGACTCTGTCAATCACCGCATTCTTATTGGCAGACTAAATAGCCTTGGTTTCTCAAATGACTGCCTCGCCTGGTTCACCAACTACTTCTCAGATAGAGTTCAATGTGTCAAATCGGAGGGCCTGTTGTCTGGACCTCTGGCAGTCTCTATGGGGGTGCCACAGGGTTCAATTCTCGGGCCGACTCTATTCTCTGTGTATGTCAATGATGTCGCTCTTGCTGCTGGTGACTCTCAGATCCACCTCTACGCAGACGACACCATTTTGTATACATCTGGCCCTTCATTGGACACTGTGTTAACAAACCTCCAAACGAGCTTCAATGCCATACAACACTCTTTCCGTGGCCTCCAACTGCTCTTAAACGCTAGTAAAACTAAATGCATGCTCTTCAATCGAACGCTGCTGGCACCCGCCCGCCCGACTAGAATCACTACTCTCGGCGGGTCGGACAACTACAAATACCTAGGTGTCTGGTTAGACCGTAAACTCAACTTCCAGACTCACATAAAGAATCTCCAATCCAAAGTTAAATCTAGAATCGGCTTCCTATTTCGCAACAAAGCCTCCTTCACTCATGCTGCCAAACATGCCCTCATAAAACTGACTATCCTACCGATCCTTGACTTCGGCGATGTCATTTACAAAATAGCTTCCAACACTCTACTCAGCAAATTGGATGTAGTCTATCACAGTGCCATCCGTTTTGTCTCCAAAGCCCCATACACTACTCACCACTGTGACCTGTACGCTCTCGTTGGCTGACCCTCACTACATATTTGTCGCCAAACCCACTGGCTCCAGGTCATCTATAAATCACTTCTAGGGAAATCCCCGCCTTATCTTAGATCATTGGTCACCATAGCAACACCCACCCATAGTATGCGTTCCAGCAGGTATATCTCACTGGTCATCCCCAAAGCCAACACCTCCTTTGGCCGCCATTCCTTCCAGTTCTCTGCTGCCAATGACTGGAACGAACTGCAAAAATCTCTGAAGCTGGAGACTCTTATCTCCCTCACTATCTTTAAGCATCAGTTGTCAGAGCACCTTACTGATCACTGCACCTGTACACAGCCCATCTGTAATTAGCCCATCCAACTACCTCATCCCCATATTGTTATTTACATTGTAATTTATTTTGCTCATTTGCACCCCAGTATCTCTATTTGCACATCATCTTCTGCACATCTATCATTCCAGTGTTAATACTAAATTGTAATTATTTTGCACTATGGCCTATTTATTGCCTTACCTCCATAACTTACTACATTTGCACACACTGTATATATATTTTCTATTGTGTTATTGACTTTATGTTTTGTTTATTCCATATGTAACTCTGTGTTGTTGTTTTTATCGCACTGCTTTGCTTTATCTTGGCCAGGTCGCAGTTGTAAATGAGAATTTGTTCTCAACTGGCTTACCTGGTTAAATAAAGGTGAAATAAAATAGGAGTCTTTACCTGGGGTAAGGATCAACCTATCATTTTAACAGTATATACTATAGTATATAATATATATTCTCTACAGGAGTCTTTACCTGGGGTCAGGATCAACCTGTCCTTCTAACAGTATTACTACAGTATATAATATATAGTGTATATATATATATATATATATATTCTCTACAGGAGTCTTTACCTGGGGTCAGGATCAACCTGTCCTCCTAACAGTATTGCTACAGTATATATATATATATACACTGCTAAAAAACATAAAGGGAACACTTAAACAACACATTCTAGATCTGAATGAATGAAATAATCTTATGAAATACTTTTTTCTTTACATAGTTGAATGTGCTGACAACAAAATCAGACAAAAATTATCAATGGAAATCAAATTTATCAACCCATGGAGGTCTGGATTTGGAGTCACCCTCAAAATTAAAGTGGAAAACCACACTACAGGCTGATCCAACTTTGATATAATATCCTTAAAACAAGTCAAAATGAGGCTCAGTAGTGTGTGTGGCCTCCACGTGCCTGTATGACCTCCCTACAACGCCTGGGCATGCTCCTGATGAGGTGGCGGATGGTCTCCTGAGGGATCTCCTCCCAGACCTGGACTAAAGCATCCGCCAACTCCTGGACAGTCTGTGGTGCAACGTGGCGTTGGTGGATGGAGTGAGACATGATGTCCCAGATGTGCTCAATTGGATTCAGGTCTGGGGAACGGGCGGGCCAGTCCATAGCATCAATGCCTTCCTCTTGCAGGAACTGCTGACACACTCCAGCCACATGAGGTCTAGCATTGTCTTGCATTAGGAGGATCCCAGGGCCAACCGCACCAGCATATGGTCTCACAAGGGGTCTGAGGATCTCATCTCGGTACCTAATGGCAGTCAGGCTACCTCTGGCGAGCACATGGAGGGCTGTGCGGCCCCCCAAAGAAATGCCACCCCACACCATGACTGACCCACCGCCAAACCGGTCATGCTGGAGGATGTTGCAGGCAGCAGAACGTTCTCCACGGCATCTCCAGACTCTGTCACGTCTGTCACGTGCTCAGTGTGAACCTGCTTTCATCTGTGAAGAGCACAGGGTGCCAGTGGCGAATTTGCCAATCTTGGTGTTCTCTGGCAAATGACAAACGTCCTGCACAGTGTTTGGCTGTAAGCACAACCCCCACCTGTGGACGTCGGGCCCTCATACCACCCTCATGGAGTCTGTTTTTGACCGTTTGAGCAGACACATGCACATTTGTGGCCTGCTGGAGGTCATTTTGCAGGGCTCTGGCAGTGCTCCTCCTGCTCCTCCTTGCACAAAGGCGGAGGTAGCAGTCCTGCTGCTGGGTTGTTGCCCTCCTACGGCCTCCTCCACGTCTCCTGATGTACTGGCCTGTCTCCTGGTAGCGCCTCCATGCTCTGGACACTGACAGACACAGCAAACCTTCTTGCCACAGCTCGCATTGATGTGCCATCCTGGACGAGCTGCACTACCTGAGCCACTTGTGTGGGTTGTAGACTCCGTCTCATGCTACCACTAGAGTGAAAGCACCGCCAGCATTCAAAAGTGACCAAAATATCAGCCAGGAAGCATAGGAACAGAAAAGTGGTCTGTGGTCACCACCTGCAAAACCAGTCCTTTATTGGGGGTGTCTTGCTAATTGCCTATAATTTCCACCTGTTGTCTATTCCATTTGCACAACAGCATGTGCAATTTGTCAATCAGTGTTGCTTCCTAAGTGGACAGTTTGATTTCACAGAAGTGTGATTGACTTGGAGTTACATTGTGTTGTTTAAGTGTTCCCTTTATTTTTTTGAGCAGTGTATATTCTCTACAGGAGTCTTTACCTGGGGTAAGGATCAACCTGTCCTTCTAACAGTATTACTACAGTATATAATATATAGTATGTACAGTGGGGAGAACAAGTATTTGATACACTGCCGATTTTGTAGGTTTTCCTACTTACAAAGCATGTAGAGGTCTATAATTTTTATCATAGGTACACTTCAACTGTGAGAGATGGAATCTAAAACAAAAATCCAGAAAATCACATTGTATGATTTTTAAGTAATTAATTTGCATTTTATTGCATGACATAAGTATTTGATACATCAGAAAAGCAGAACGTAATATTTGGTACAGAAACCTTTGTTTGCAATTACAGAGATCATACGTTTCCTGTAGTTCTTGACCAGGTTTGCACACACTGAGGCAGGGATTTTGGCCCACTCCTCCATACAGACCTTCTCCAGATCCTTCAGGTTTCGGGGCTGTCGCTGGGCAATAAGGACTTTCAGCTCCCTCCAAAGATTTTCTATTGGGTTCAGGTCTGGAGACTGGCTAGGCCACTCCAGGACCTTGAGATGCTTCTTACGGAGCCACTCAGTTGCCCTGGCTGTGTGTTTTGGGTTGTTGTCATGCTGGAAGACCCAGCCACGACCCATCTTCAATGCTCTTACTGAGGGAAGGAGGTTGTTGGCCAAGATGTCGCGATACATGGCCCCATCCATCCTCCCCTCAATACGGTGCAGTCGTCCTGTCCCCTTTGCAGAAAAGCATCCCCAAATAATTATGTTTCCACCTCCATGCTTCATGGTTGGGATGGTGTTCTTGGGGTTGTACTCATCCTTCTTCTTCCTCCAAACACGGCGAGTGGAGTTTAGACCAAAAAGCTCTATTTTTGTCTCATCAGACCACATGACCTTCTCCCATTCCTCCTCTGGATCATCCAGATGGTCATTGGCAAACTTCAGACGGGCCTGGACATGCGCTGGCTTGAGCAGGGGGACCTTGCGTGCACTGCAGGATTTTAATCCATGACGGCGTAGTGTGTTACTAATGGTTTTCTTTGAGACTGTGGTCCCAGCTCTCTTCAGGTCATTGACCAGGTCCTGCCGTGTAGTTCTGGGCTGATCCCTCACCTTCCTCATGATCATTGATGCCCCACGAGGTGAGATCTTGCATGGAGCCCCAGACTGAGGGTGATTGACCGTCATCTTGAACTTCTTCCATTTTCTAATAATTGTGCCAACAGTTGTTGCCTTCTCACCAAGCTGCTTGCCTATTGTCCTGTAGCCCATCCCAGCCTTGTGCAGGTCTACAATTTTATCCCTGATGTCCTTACACAGCTCTCTGGTCTTGGCCATTGTGGAGAGGTTGGAGTCTGTTTGATTGAGTGTGTGGACAGGTGTCTTTTATACAGGTAACGAGTTCAAACAGGTGCAGTTAATACAGGTAATGAGTGGAGAACAGGAGGGATTCTTAAAGAAAAACTAACAGGTCTGTGACAGCCGGAATTCTTACTGGTTGGTAGGTGATCAAATACTTATGTCATGCAATAAAATGCAAATGAATTACTTAAAAATCATACAATGTGATTTTCTGGATTTTTGTTTTAGATTCCGTCTCTCACAGTTGAAGTGTACCTATGATAAAAATTACAGACCTCTACATGCTTTGTAAGTAGGAAAACCTGCAAAATCAGCAGTGTATCAAATACTTGTTCTCCCCACTGTATGTATATGTATATATTCTCTACAGGAGTCTTTACCTGGGGTCAGGATCAACCTATCCTTTTAACAGTATATACTATAGTATATAATATATATTATCTACAGGAGTCTTTACCTGGGGTAAGGATCAACCTATCCTTTTAACAGTATATACTATAGTGTATATAATATATATTCTCTACAGGAGTCTTTACCTGGGGTCAGGATCAACCAAATCAGTCCGAGGTAGGGGAGGGAATGGCCGGCAGGGATGTAGCTCAGTTGGTAGAGCATGGTGTTTGCAACGCCAGGGTTGTGGGTTCGTTTCCCACGGGGGGCCAGTATGAAAAATAAATAATAATGTATGCACTCACTAACTGTAAGTCACTCTGGATAAGAGCGTCTGCTAAATGACTAAAATGTAATGACAACTTTGCACACTCTTGGCATTTCACATTCTTAAAATAAAGTGGTGATCCTAACTGACCTAAAACAGGGAATCTTTACTAGGATTAAATGTCAGGAATTGTGAAAAACTGAGTTTAAATGTATTTGGCTAAGGTGTATGTAATCTTCCGACTTCAACTGTGTATATATATTGTTCTCTACAGGAGTTGTTGCCTGGGGCCAGGATCAGTGGAGGCCTGTCCAACCTGTCCTTCTCCTTCAGAGGCATGGAGGTCATCAGAGAGGCCATGCATGGAGCCTTCCTCTACCACGCCATCAAGGTACATTTTCGTCCCACATTTATTCACTATATACATAAATGACCTTCCCTCTACATAAATGACCTTCCCTCTACATAAATGACCTTCCCTTTGTATGTCCCAAGATAGAAATGCAGACGACACAGTCTTTTATCTCCATACCAACCCAAAGCAACAGGATGCTCCTACATTTCTTACAGCAGCAGTGGACAAAATAGCTGACTGGTTGGACTACTCATGTCTAACATTGAACGTAACAAAAAAAAACTGTCTGCATGTATTTCTCCAAGCAAGAGCCCAACAACGAGACCAACTAGCACAGGCAGGAACCCACAGAACACAACTAAAACAAAACCAGCAGATCAAAAGCAAAGAGAGAGAGAGGGGGGGGAGACTTCCATATTGACGGCTGGGGTCCATCTGATAATGAGAGTGGCGATATGAATGACTAAAGCGAGAGCCAGGGAGAGAGGCGCAGAGCGAGAGGCTGTTTCACCGGGACAAGGAAGAGTCAGGGAGGGTAAATCCAATAGTGATATAGCGATATAGCGAGGGGAAATCCTCCGTAGATGGCTAGCTAGATTCCCTGGTCCTCTGTAGCTCAGCTGGTAGAGCACGGCGCTCGTAACGCCCAGGGTAGTGGGTTCGATCCCCGGGACCACCCCATACGTAAAAAATGTATGCACACATGACTGTAAGTCGCTTTGGATAAAAGCGTCTGCTAAATGGCATATTATTATTATAATATTATTATTCCAGATGCGGCAGAGGGCACAGGAGAAATGTGAAGAAAATCTAACGAAGAACAGACGAGGTACTAAACAATTAGAGCAGGCAGGGTTTTCCCCTTTCGTGAGCCCGAGGCATGAAGTCACAGAGCCTGCCTGTTGAAGCGGAACGTGCAGAATGCCCCACGTGCGTGTGGAACGCTCGCTGATTGGTAATACGATAGCTTGTTTGCGTCACGCTTCCTCATGATTGGTGGATTGTAGCTCACCACAGGCCAACACTTGGTCTGGAATGTAATTACATGCTAGTCGCTAACGTTATCCAGCTTGAGCTAGCTAGTGAGCTAGCATACCAAATCGCTGGTAAGAGTAGGTTCTCCTTAATGACGGTGGCAATAGCGCATTGTGGGTAGCTCCGAAGTTATCCCAAAACGAGTTAATAAATATTTAAAAAACGTAACTATGCATAACCAGATTGACTACCACAAAGTTACTAGGTCTTTGACCACATTATGTTGTTACTTTAGTGAGTAAAAACTCCTGCTTCGTACCCTTTAAGTAGGCCGTCATTGTAAATAAGAATTTGTTCTTAACTGACTTGCCTAGTTAATTAAAGGTAAAATAAAAAAAAGTAGTGTGACACCTCAGATGTTGCTTATTTCTCCACGTTTTCCATGGGGTATGTATGCTGAACAAAAATATAAACGCAACATGCAACAATTTTTAATATTTTACAGAGTTACAGTTCATATAAGGAAATCAGTCAATTTAAATTTTAAAGAGCGACTTACAGTTAGTGAGTGCATACATTTTTATTTTATACTGGTCCCCCGTGGGAAACGAACCCACAACCCTGGCGTTGCAAGCACCATGCTCGCCCAACTGAGCTACAGATTAGGCCCTAATCTGTGGAGTTCACATGACTGGGCAGGGGCACAGCCATGGGTGGGCCTGGGAGGGCATAGGCCCACCCACTGGGGAGCCAGGCCCAGCCAATCAGAATGAGTGTTTCCACCCACTGGGGAGCCAGGCCCAGCCAATCAGAATGAGTGTTTCCCCACAAAAGGGCTTTATTACGGACAGAAATACTCCTCAAAATTTGAGGGAAATCAGCTTTTTGCGCCTATGGAACACTTCTGGGATTTTTTTATTTTTATTTCAGCTCATGAAACATGGAACCAACACGTTTTTATATTTCAGTTGAGTGTAGTCACCCTGTCGTCCTGCTGCCCCCTACAGGATGGAATGGACATGGGCATAGTGAACGCTGGCAGCCTGCCCGTCTATGATGATATTGACAAGGAGCTCCTGCTAATGTGTGAGAACCTCATCTGGAACAAAGACCCGGAGGCCACAGAGAAACTACTGCTGTATGCACAGGTATGGGGTCTACACAGTACAGTACATATCCAACAACAGGTATGTGGTCTACACAGTACAGTACATATGCTGCTGTATGAACAGGCACATACTGGTCCACCTGGTTAACACAGAACATATTCTGCTGTATGAACAGGTCCACCTGGTTAACACAGTACATATGCTGCTGTATGAACAGGTCCACCTGGTTAACACAGTACATATGCTGCTGTATGAACAGGTCCACCTGGTTAACACAGTACATATGCTGCTGTATGAACAGGTACATACTGGTCCACCTGGTTAACACAGTACATATGCTGCTGTATGAACAGGTACATACTGGTCCACCTGGTTAACACAGTACATATGCTGCTGTATGAACAGGTCCACCTGGTTAACACAGTACATATTCTGCTGTATGAACAGGTCCACCTGGTTAACACAGTACATATTATGCTGTATGAACAGGTCCACCTGGTTAACACAGTACATATGTTGATGTATGAATAGGTCCACCTTGTTAACACAGTACATATGCTGCTGTATGAACAGGTCCACCTGGTTAACACAGTACATATTATGCTGTATGAACAGGTCCACCTGGTTAACACAGTATATATTATGCTGTATGAACAGATCCACCTGGTTAACACAGTACATATGCTGCTGTATGAACAGGTCCACCTGGTTAACACAGTACATATTATGCTGTATGAACAGGTCCACCTGGTTAACACAGTACATATGCTGCTGTATGAACAGGTCCACCTGGTTAACACAGTACATATTATGCTGTATGAACAGATCCACCTGGTTAACACAGTACATATGCTGCTGTATGAACAGGTCCACCTGGTTAACACAGTACATATTATGCTGTATGAACAGATCCACCTGGTTAACACAGCACATATGCTGCTGTATGAACAGGTACATACTGGTCCACCTGGTTAACACAGTACATATTCTGATGTATGAACAGGTCCACCTGGTTAACACAGTACATATTCTGCTGTATGAACAGGTCCACCTGGTTAACACAGTACATATGCTGCTGTATGAACAGGTCCACCTGGTTAACACAGTACATGTCCTATAACTCTGTTAACTCTGGTTAACTGATCCCTAGTTAACTAGTTCCCATAGCTTTTCTCTGAAGAGAATCCTGTCGTTTTCAGAGCTGTGCCAAAGGAGGGAAGAAGGTGGTCCAGACGGATGAATGGAGAGGGGGAACAGTGGAGGAGAGGCTGGAGTATGGGCTCATCAAGGTTAGTAGGAGAGGCTGGAGTATGGGCTCATCAAGGTTAGTAGGAGAGGCTGGAGTATGGGCTCATCAAGGTTAGTAGGAGAGGCTGGAGTATGGGCTCATCAAGGTTAGTAGGAGAGGCTGGAGTATGGGCTCATCAAGGTTAGTAGGAGAGGCTGGAGTATGGGCTCATCAAGGTTAGTAGGAGAGGCTGGAGTATGGGCTCATCAAGGTTAGTAGGACAGACTGGAGTATGGGCTCATCAAGGTTAGTAGGAGAGGCTGGAGTATGGGCTCATCAAGGTTAGTAGGAGAGGCTGGAGTATGGGCTCATCAAGGTTAGTAGGAGAGGCTGGAGTATGGGCTCATCAAGGTTAGTAGGAGAGGCGAGGCTGGAGTATGGGCTCATCAAGGTTAGTAGGACAGACTGGAGTATGGGCTCATCAAGGTTAGTAGGACAGACTGGAGTATGGGCTCATCAAGGTTAGTAGGACAGGCTGGAGTATGGGCTCATCAAGGTTAGTAGGAGAGGCTGGAGTATGGGCTCATCAAGGTTAGTAGGAGAGGCTGGAGTATGGGCTCATCAAGGTTAGTAGGACAGACTGGAGTATGGGCTCATCAAGGTTAGTAGGAGAGACTGGAGTATGGGCTCATCAAGGTTAGTAGGAGAGGCTGGAGTATGGGCTCATCAAGGTTAGTAGGACAGGCTGGAGTATGGGCTCATCAAGGTTAGTAGGAGAGGCTGGAGTATGGGCTCATCAAGGTTAGTAGGAGAGGCTGGAGTATGGGCTCATCAAGGTTAGTGGGAGGCTGGAGTATGGGCTCATCAAGGTTAGTAGGAGAGGCTGGAGTATGGGCTCATCAAGGTTAGTGGGAGGCTGGAGTATGGGCTCATCAAGGTTATTTGGAGAGGCTGGAGTATGGGCTCATCAAGGTTAGTAGGAGAGGCTGGAGTATGGGCTCATCAAGGTTAGTAGGAGAGGCTGGAGTATGGGCTCATCAAGGTTGGTGGCATGCAGGTACCAAGTTATTTTCCCTCCCTGTCTCCCTCCCTCCTACTGATCACATACTGCAGGTACCAAGGTATTTTCAGGTATATCTAGCAAGATAGGTTTTGACAAAACTTTACAGATAAAGGTAAGGTAAAAATCTCTCCCTTTCTCCATCACTATCACAATTACTATCAATATTCCTTCTCTCGCTCTGTCTCTGTTTATGCCAATTTTCAATTCAATTTAAGGGCTTTATTGGCATGGGAAACATATGTTAACATTGCCAAAGCAAGTGAAGTAGATAATAAACAAAAGTGAAATAAACAATACAAAATTGACAGTAAACATTACACTCACAAAAGCTTTCTCTGTCTCTCTCTCTCACTCTCTCTCTCTCTCTCTCTCTCTCTCTCTGTCTCTCTCTCTGTCTCTGTCTCTCTGTCTCTCTCTCTCTCTCTCTCTCTCTCTCTCTCTCTCTCTCTCTCTCTCTGTCTCTGTCTCTGTCTCTGTCTCTGTCTCTGTCTCTGTCTCTGTCTCTGTCTCTGTCTCTGTCTCTGTCTCTGTCTCTGTCTCTGTCTCTGTCTCTGTCTCTCTCTCTCTCTCTCTCTCTCTCTCTCTCTCTCTCTCTCTCCTCTCTCTCTCTCTCTCTCTCTCTCTCTCTCTCTCTCTCTCTCTCTCTCTCTCTCTCTCTCTCTCTCTCTCTCTGTCTCTCTCTCCAGGGTATAGATAAGTATGTGGTAGAGGACACAGAGGAGGCGAGGGCCCAGGCTGAGCGCTACCCGAGGCCCCTACACGTCATCGAGGGGCCCCTGATGAACGGCATGAAGGTGGTGGGGGACCTGTTTGGAGCTGGGAAGATGTTCCTACCTCAGGTAGGGGGGGGGGGGGGAAGGAATAGAGGAGTGCACAGATCCAAGATATCCTCAGGTGGAGGGAAGAGATCACAGATGTGATAATACAGTTATCTATTCTTGTCGTGATCATGCTGCT